GCTTTGACGGCGCGACAGTTTTTTGACTAGCAACAAGATGGTGATTGAGCCTCATCACCTTACTCACCCGACCTGGCTCCGTCGGACTTTTTTGTTTCCACGGATGAGGAGAGGTCTGAAAGGAAAGCGATTCCGTGATGTGGATGAAGTCAAAGAAAACACGCTAAAGGCTTTGAACAGTATCCAGCCTCAAGAATTCCAGCACTGTTTTGAGCAGTGGCAAAAGCGTTGGGACAAGTGCATTAATGCACATGGACAATACTTAAGGGGACTAATATACAGTTCAATAAAAATGCAAAAATAAAAAATAACAAAAATAAATTCCGGTTATTTTTGGGCCCCCCCTCATATGTGACGTTCTAACCAAATGAAGATTTTGTCACCTGGGAATTCACTTCATGAAGCCCAGAGGCCATCTTCATATCACATCACTGAGTCTAGGACAGCTAGAGAGCTTAATTTTTGAATGGGATATGCAACAGATGAAAGGCAGTCTTTCAATGCCCCTCCCCTCAATATAATCTAATATCCCAAATAATTAAAATATTCTTTCCTGTATCCTATCATTAATGTATACCTTCCCTCTGATTTGTTCTGCCCTTCTAGAAGTAACAATTTTAGTACTTTTTCCTTCATTTCTTCACTAACAGACTCCAACGCCTGTACCATTAGTGCAGGAGGAAATATTGCCACATGGACCCTGACTTGAGACTTTAAAGGCAGCAATCCAACCATGACTACCTCTCTTTGTATAGCAATCAACTGGTGGGACTTCTAATTGTCTCCAAGTTAGCACAAATTCATAAGGTTAAAATACATCTAAAGCTAAACTGAAAAAAAAAAAAAAAAGCTTTTCAAGGAAGTACACTAACTCAGGCAACCTGCCAAAAATTTCACAAGTATCTCAAATGTCTGAAGAATGTTTCATCTTTGATTGATACTGTAACTTCATTATATTTCATTATAAAATATATTCAAATGTGCAACCCAAATTATGTACGTATATAATCCATTCATTCAACCTGGACTCTAGCACTTTCATGAAATACAAATATACAACTTCGAGTAGCAGATGTATCTGATTTAACATGACTCATTCTTGTACACTCATGACCACTTCTACTTTTGTACATCAAGACATTTACATTTATCAACAGATAACTTCATGTTGCTTCAAGGATCACATAAATACTATAAAAAATATTTGACATGAAGCCATCACATGGCATATTTACAGATTTATAAAATGTTGTTGGATAAAATACATAATTCCTAATAAAAAACAATGTTCATAACATGTATCTGCAATTCTATTAGCAAGTTGTTACTGTAATCAATATTTCACATATTTAAATTCATGAAGGTCAAAGGATTGGTGCTGGGCAAACAATATGAAATGAACCACAATTTAAGGAAAATTTTATTTGCTTTGGTGATCAATAATTATGACAATGTTAATAGTTTTAGTCAAGTTCTTTGACAGTAAACAAAACCTTGTTCAACAACTCTTGTTGTCTGACAGTTTGTCTCTCAAGAAGTATTTCAAGGTTATGCATCCTTTTTTCTGTTCTCCTTGCTGTTGCATTTTCTCTTCTTCTGTCATCTTCAGACAATCTCATTATGAGTGACATCATGGCTTCTCCTGCAGTTGGAATCGGACGTGCCGGTTGGTTAGGTACTGGAGAAACAATAACTGTTGCAGGACCTTGAGTACTTACATTAGTTTTCTTTGAAAGAGATGACTTATTTGTACCTTCAAGAAGGTCTGGCAATGAGGGATTTATGTTCCCTGCATTTCTACATACTTTGGAAACTGAATGTGAAGGCTGTTTATGATATTCAGTTACACTTTCTTCTGCATATGAATGATCAATGAAATGTTCTGGAACTGAATTATTTGTGAAATCTTCTAAAACATCAGGGTAAACAGGGATAAATTCCTCACTATCAAAATGACCAACAGGCACCTCAGATTCATGTCTGAATTTTGAATCAGTGAAATATTCAGATCCTTCAGGATAAACTAGGATGAATTCTTCACTGTTTGACTGTTTTGACACTGACTTGAAGGCCTGGTTATTGTCTGGAATGGTAGAATTCAATGTACAGTTTCCTGGGGGTATTTTAAAAACTTTGCTACCATCGTCTTCAGAACTATTAGATGAAATGGGTATATCTAGTAATGATACACATGAAGAATCAAGTGTCTGGCAAATCTGTTTCGGTGAAGATGGTGACTGACTGTCCACATCAACGGAACACTCATCATCTTGCTTTCTTTTACGTTCTGTTGAAACAAAAGAATTCACAACTGATTTACCTTCTTCACCACTAATATTGTTGATGACTTGCTTTTTCCGGTTCAATATTTCTTCCAAACTGTCATAATACAAAGGATAATGTGCCTTCATATTAAAAGTTCTTGTCCTGGTAAAATGATGATAATTTCTAACAATCTTAGACCACTTTTGTCGGCATCTGCCACCTCCATTTTCACCCATATCAAAGCCAGTCCTTTTCATCTCGGCCGCAACATGATCCCACACTGTCTTCTTAGAAACCATTTTGTCTGCTAGCATAGACTGAACTTCAGAGCTGCCAACAATGTGAATGAGCACTTCTGTCGAGCTACTTGCAGCATCCAGTTTCATACCAACAGCCAAGTGGCTCTCTGGAAAATATGTCACATTTCACAAATAAAACCAAAAATAGTGTTAAGGAACTTATTTTTCTTAAGTCACATTAACTTCATTCCTGCAGCAACTGTTGTAGTGATGGGCAACTGCTGTACTGCCCCAAAATAATCTGCAGCTACTCTATTTGTCTAAATATAATACATACTTCCATTCATCTTAATACTTCCCCAAAATTAAAAATAATTTCAACATATAATAATGACTTCAGTGGTAGTCTCTAGTAAAATACACACTTATCACAACTGAACATATGAAAATATAATGTATAGCCAATCTTGAATTTTATTTGAGGAAAGAAAGTTACATTATATTTAGACAAATACAGTATTTATATCATGCAACTGTACTGAAACCCAGGAGTCGGTATAGCAACGGTCTATGGGCTGAATGATCAAGAGTTCAAATCCTAGCAGGGGCAAGATTTTTCTCTTCTCCACATCATCCAGAAAAGATCTGGGCCCAACTAGCCTCCTACCCCAATGGGTACAAGGGATTCTTCCCTGGGGGTAAACCGGCCTGGGCATGAAGCTGACTACTCACCTCCATCTAGTGCCAAAGTCAAGAATGGTGGAGCTATACCTCCATTGCCCCATATGGCTTCATGACACAATACTTCATTAATTATGCATAGGGACAACTTTACCTTTATCTGTCTCGAAACCCAAATGATTACTGGTTCAGCTCTTATGAAAGGACAGTGTAATATAACAGTATTTCCTAGCTTTGTGTGTGACCTATGACAATTTCTTGGAGTCATATGCAACTCAAGGATTTGGGGTTTGTGCAGGTGTTAAGATTTATAATATATTATACTTCCATTTAATAGATATCTGTTAAAGTATAAGTGGAGCTTCTGGTTATCTTTGCTATGGTTACTTGTAACTTTCCAAAGAATCTCCAGGTGAAATGTGAACTGAGTCTAGAAATAGGTCACAGATGCATTCCTCCAAGGTTCTGCCTAACTGCCATTTACAGTAATCTTTCCTTTTCACTTAAAGCCACATTATGTGATCAGTTAAGAGTACCATTAAAAAAAGTAATAATTTCAAAAAGTACATGGCACTCTTTCAATATACCAGAACCACACAGAAAAATTCCCTTCACAAGTGAAAGTAATTTTATACCAAGGCTGATTAACTCAACTGCAGAACTTCAGCTTCTGGGCTTTATACTCTTAAACCAAACATTCTTTATTGTATTCTAACCATAATATGTAAATTAAACATTACATTATTCAATCATGTTGTTCGTTTGTTTATTGGCTTATTAAAAATTATTCATTGACAACAGAGATTATGACGTGTCAAATGAGAGAACTGTGAATGACAAATTGGGAATAATTTGGAAGGAAATAAGTGTAGTTTTAACGTTCTGTCCCAGTACATTTCTGAGGTGAGAAAACCAAATATCTAAGCAGAGTGCCAGATTCTGGGCCCAAATTTAAATCCAGGATGTCCTGAATACAAAGCAAAAGTGTTATTGACAACACCTGGACTTTCAGTAGACTGAGTACATCAAATTTTAATGTATGAACATACTTGTGATAGTATTTAGGAATGCTTAAATCTAACGGCAATCTAAAGATTCTGATGCTAGAGAATTACTGAACTAGATTTTTAATCAACAAATTTTTCATTTTATAATTTAAAGATCAGATGTCAAACTAAGCTTGACAATATTTAAAATATTTTGCCAAAAACAAATTGATTATAATTACCAAAGGAAGTCCACTGAAGGCAGGTAAAGGTAAAGTTAAAGTTAAGTTGTTCCTGCTCTTAACTGTGATTAAGCACCATGCCATGAAAACATATCAGGGAGGGGCAGTATAGCTTAACCATATTTTACCCAGGTAAGTGGTCAGCTTCACACCCCAGCTGCTTTATCCCTGGGGAAAGAGCCCCTAGTACTCACTGGCTGAGTGGGCCCTAGAGCTGGTCTGGATGCTATGGAGTGAACTAAAATCTTTTACCCCTAACAGGAATCAAACACAAGCCATCCAGCCTGTAGCTCATTGCTATACTGACTGAACTACCCCGGGTCCAGTCCACTGAAGGTGTTAGGGAAAATAATCAGCATTTACTCTTGTTAACATATGAAAACTATCAATTATAAGAGTCGTCAGAACAATAGACTACTGACAAAACTGGTGACCATGGCATACAAATCAAAATATAGCATGCCCCAGCATTACAAAAAGTATGCATTCAAAATGGGTCTGTATTACAAAATTCTTCATTATGAACCCTATCTTTCCGCTGGCTCTCCATATTATACGTGGCAATGTGATCCAAGACATTTTTTGGTTCATAGTTGTAATAAAAACATGCTTTTTTACCCATCAGAAATAACAGCAAATGCATAAAAACAAACTTAAAAAATGTAAAACTTTCTAGACATCTTAAATAACCATAATTACATTGCACAGAATCTAAAACCAGATGGGAAGTCATCCCCCTATGACACTGACGCATGTGCTTAGGCTAGCTAGCTCATGGCCAGCTACATATCCTGTTACATGACCAATGCATCTAGATATGTGACCTGAATTTGACAATAATTCCATAACGAATATTAATTTTGGTTGAATTTGTTGTTGTTCTGAATATGATTATAACAATTTTAATGCCTTGAATTTCTATAAGGCTGAATTTATGGCTTATGCTGTGAATTTTATGATTACGTTTCATAATTCCCACAAGAGTAAAAATTCCATAACTCAAACATCTGTAATACAGGGATGCACTGTAATGGTAGTCTCCACATTCTTCCCTTATAAAAGTGCTATCAGTTACATTGCAACAACATAAAAGAAAATAAACAGAAACGTTAACTATTATGCAACAAAAGATGTTACACCCAATAGACAAGCACAAGGTGAACATGGGAGATATCCAGTTGAAGTCTACAAAATTAAACTATACCAATCAAAAAGAACACATGAAAACCATGATCAAGAAAACAGCCTCTGCACAATATTCTATTAGAGGAAAGGTGTTCTCCAGTGGAGTACACATCCTTCCCATTTCATTCCTAGATACGGACTTATTTAGCAAAGCTACATATGTTACACTACAAATACACAGTATCAGAAATTATGACTCTTTGTGCTTAATTAAATATCCAAAATACTAAAAATGTTTCAAATACAAATTATCAGTCTTAGGAGCTACTATTTTACATTGTGTGTACCAATTTTTGTTATGATGAGCTGTTTTCAAGAACAATTATATACTGATTTGATCTTCATATTAAGTAATTGTTATATTGGTTTGACAGACAAACAGAAATAAAATCTGGATTACAATTTTTTTATAGGATCAAAATATTAAATTTCATTACAATTCATTGAGTATTTCTGAAAATGAAAGAAGTCACTCTGTCAATTAACAAGTTCTCCACTTTCATACAGCACAAAAACTCACTACAATGTTCAAAAAGCCTGCCACTGTATCCTGTCCAAAGTCAGTGTAATGCAATCCACGCCCTCACAGCCCTTTACACTATGATCCATTTTAAAACCATTCTCTTACACAAGTTATCATCTCCAAAGTCATTTCATAACTTGACATTTTCCAATTAAAATTTAGTATGTATTTCTCATATGCTTCATGCATGCTACACATGCTCTTCCCCATCTCATTCTCCTTGATATGATCAGCATATTAACAATGGGTGAAGAATATAAATTGTGAAACTCTTCAAAACATATCTTCTTCAACCTCCTGTAGCAAAATGTCTTTCAGTTTCTCCTTAGTACATCCTTCAGACAGGTCTCTTCACAATCTTGACAGAATTCTTCTGCTTACATAATTTCAGTTGCAATACTTCTGCAGCTGGTCTTTCGCCCTTCGATGTTTCCATTCTCATGCCGGCTATCTAGGAACCAAGTCTCTCCAACTAGCTCTGTCTTCCCAGAGCTCAATTTTCTGGCACACTTTTCCTTCTTTTTGCAAGAAATCTTCCCTAACCCGATGTTCCCATCTTGACTGCAGCATTCCTCCTGGGCATTTTCCTTTCATTTTCATGCTGAAAACCTTCATGAGCATTCCATATTTGTTCATTCCAAAAACATGCTGATACAATCATATATTGTTGTTTATTAATTTATCTTACAAAATACTTACATTTAAATTACATTTTTTTTCTCTTACTATTCCTCTTCTGATGTTTCATTCTACAACTCCCAAAAATCTCATTAGAGCTCCACTAGTATATTAACATCTGCCTTTGTCCATATCCACAATTCTGCTCCATAATTGTATGTGAATACTGGACTATAGAAACTTTTAAATAAACGCAGTTGTTCTTTCTTTAGCATGTTCCTTTCTCTAACTTCATTTCTTCCACAATTTCTCCGTATGCTTGTCACTAATGCACATGAAGAGACTTAAAATCGGCTATTATAATTTCACAGTTATTACACTTTTAACTTTTCCTTACAGGATTCAAATTTCTCACATCAGTGGTTATGAAGAGTTCTCTCTTCTGCGATATAATGCACTACACAAAATAATATCCCAGAAAACAAAACTCTATCTCTTCTGTGTCTTCTGTTCTATGGCTTATTTTCCTAACAATATTTTTAACGACACTGACATTTAATTCCAAATCTTTGTACATCAAAAAAAAGCTACAAAATTTCGTTTCTAAAATACTTTTGTTCAGTTCCCATATAAATTTACCATTTGCAATTGTTGTCATATGGATATACTTTATTACTGTCAGTACATCAGCTGCAAATAAGGATCAATTTCAACAGAAAATCTGTATGCTAATTACCAAACCAGGAGCATATAAATCTACAAGTGTTGGAACTTTATCAGTGGCAAAACTGCTGTATAGACGCCATGCAATGGAACCAAATAATGTCACTTATACCACATGTTAGTTACATACCTCCCTTACCTCAGAGCAAATGGACTCTCCCTTCCCACATCATGCGCATGCGCAGTGATGAGAAGAACAGAGCCTCGTGTTAGCTGGCGGTCTAATGTGGTGTTGTCATGACGTTTTTGAAACAGGAACAACAGAGTTGGATAAAGATTGAATGTGCCAGAGGCCATACAGCATGACAGCATCATCAAGGTCTTCAAGAGGCTTGCGAGGAATCTGCATTGCCTTACAGAATAGTGGCAAGGTGGGTAAAAGCCTTCAACGAGGGACACCAAAATGTGGCAGACGTGCGTCAGCTAGGTTGTCCTAGTGTCAGTGAAGAAGAAGTGTATGCTCTTTCCGTGTTACTGGAGAGTGATCAACGCCATACGATTCGTGAGCTGGCCCTAAAGACAGGATTAGCACATAAGACTGTGCTTCATATTCTGAAGGAACGCTTGGGCATGACAAAAACTGCATCACGATGGGTTCCGCATGATTTGACGGAAATGCAGAAATGTCAAGCTGTGGCTGATTTGTTCAATTGATGGGGCTGGGAAGTACTGTACCATCCACCATATTCCCCGGACTTAAGCCCTTGTAACTTTGACTTGATTCCTAAGATGAAGGAACCACATCGTGGCATTCGCTTCAGAACTGTTCCAGAGATTCTTCAAGCAGTAGACCGCTCCATTCGAACTATCAACATAACAGGTGCTGCTAAAGGTATCCTATGACTTCCACATCGCTGGCAACGGGTTGTACAGAATGCTGGCGACTACAATGAAGGACAGTAAAACTTTGAAACATGCATCTATTTTGTATCAGTTGTAAATAAATAGTTGCCATTATTAAAGTTCCAACCCTCATAATTTTATTTGGTATTTTTGTATTAAACTTTTTAATCATCTTCTTTTAAATATAAAAGAGTTAATCCATAATATTAAGCAATTTAGAGCAGCTTTTAAGTGCCTTTTCACATTCTAAATCCTATTACACTTCAGATGAATATTTTAATTAGGGATAGTTTCTTGTTTAGCTAAGTCCCATTATTTGATCTATTGTCATGTATGTTCTAATTTTGTATTATATCTTATATACACATGGCAGGTTATGTAGTTGCAGTGATGTGTAGGGTTTCATATGCTCAATTTATTGTTGTGGATTTATATGCATTGTTCTGTTGACTACTTGCTGATTTAGCAAGCTTGTGGTGTGACAGGTTCAGTATCCAATGGCTTCGTCCTTGTATAGATGTGCTGGAACGTGTAATAAATACAATACAATAATATTCAAAGTGTTTAAGGTTTGATTCCAGTGACTGCCGCCAATATTCAAAATATTGTAACATGTTTGGAGTAGGTACTTCCATGATAACGCAATGACAGTGAGCCGCTGCATAGACAATGCCAAAACAACGAACAAGTCTCCCCAGAGGTGAAAAACAGACAGCTTGTTACGCTCATCGCATAACAACACTGTTGGAACAGCAGTAACGGAACCATGACGAATGGTGTCTGGTATCCGGTCTGCATAACGCCTATATAAGCAGAGCCAGTTAGACCCCAACGAACGAGACAGTTGGGATCCAGCCCCAGCCTCGAACGGAAGTTGAGTACTGGGCCAGAAATCAGATGTAAGGGAGTCGCCGTCGAAGGTAGTATTCGCCGAGATGTCGCATTAAGCCCCACTAATCACCCAAGTCGTGGCCAGTCACGTAGGGAAGTCACCTCAACACCAATTAATTGTCTGATTTCTTTATTCAATCTGCACTATTGGCAGTAGTTGTGATACTGCAAGTGGTAATAATTGTAAGGTGTGTAAGAGTGAGTGTCCAATAAAGATTCACTAAATCTGAGACCCACGTGAAGTTATCTGTCGTGTGACATACCCAACACGTGACAATATGAACAAAAAATATGTGAACAGGTGCAGAATCAATTCCTACATCATCCCACACAGAGCATTCAATTAGGATGAAAATGTGTTGCTAGTGACAGTGCAGCAGTACTTTACTGTGTGACCACTGAGGAAACAGCAGTGGGATCTTTCCTGCATGCATCACTGACTCACTCTATTTCATTGCTGATTACTATAAAGTGGCAACAGAATCATTATAGATGTCATAAGACATGCTAGAGGTCAAGCCCATTCTAACTTAAAGCATGCCTTGCGGCAAGTAAATGAGTCTGCACCATTTTCTGTAGTTCATCCTTGAAAATTGAGGCAATTAGATGTTTTATGGCATGAAGATCTTCTTCACTTCATATTTTTGTATTCTGCAAAGTAACAAAGTTAAAAAAATGAAATACAGCAACATTATTATATCTCAGCATCCTGTTGCACTCTACACGATAAATGATACACACTCCGTCCCAAGTGCAAACAACATATATTATATGTCTTTGATCTTGTTCTCTTCTACACTACATGTTTCGGCCTCTATCGGCCATCATCAGGTGTATACTCTTAACGTTGCTGCCACACTGAAACCCAGTCTAAAATTTAACATTTAAAAACACATTGTTATTTTCTTCATATTATCAACATCTACCTCGTTGATATGTGTCTGGTATGTAGATTATATTGCACACGTCAAATTTTCCTGTAGTAGCACTATAAACTCTTTAGTTATGATTTTCAAATCCTTTAAAATTTTCTCTAAATTTTAAATTTAGAATTTAAAATTGTTAGGGTTACTCGTCCTATGTCTAAAGTGCTGGAGCGGCTAGTTCTTGTTCCACACTGTACAGGTGTTATTCTGTGTGGTCTTCCTGTGTGCGTGCCGCTGCTTGTCTTTACTACGTGTGAACAACATTGTGAACAGGGCATACAGTATGTTCTGTCGATGACTAACTCACGATGGCAGCATGCAAAAGTTATGCTGGCTCTAATGTGTTCATCTTAAGATATGAATTCGTAACTCCCACAATGAGGTATATGATTTAACATGAAGTTTTCATAGTGAATCCTTCATAAAACGAAAACTTACAAGAAGTGTATTTAAAGTTACGGTTACAAATACCAACAAGAACAAGTACCAACTAAGCCATGTGCACCAAAGCTTGTCAGAAAATAGGAGACTATGGATTCAGTTTATAACTAAAACAGACAAACCAAGAAGCATATGCTAACAAAAGAAAAAACTTCCAAACATACATGCACAGCTGGTGATCAGTCTTGGCAAACTGTTAATATGCTTGGCACAAGGAACTGACGTTTAACTGGTATCTGCGCAGACAACCATAACACTAAATTTCACCCACCTAAAACAGCAGCTGTGCATGAACTTAAGCAACTAGATTATGGAGCAAAAATTCACTTTCATAACCAGCTGCTGGAAAATGTGAATAACAGAGTTATGAATCTACAGCTGTTGTTCATAACAGAAGAGGCATGGTATACCTTGGTGATCATTTCAATTAAAAAAAATATATATGAATGTGGAATGATGAATCAAACATCTATGTATTAAGTCTGTCAATAATGCAACAATCATTACAACATTCACCATTCAACACCAACACATGGTTCGGCCAGAGGATGTGCAACAGGATGCTGAAATACAGAAGTGGAATGATGAAAATTCTCATGCCATTCAATGAGTTCCATTACACAGCATAAAGTCACGGGTGTGCTTTGTTTTAAGTGTGCATCAAATCATTAGCCAAATATTCTTGCAGCACACCGTGAAAATGTAAACTGGATATAAGTAATGCATTATATTCCTTCTTCAATCAACTGACAGCTGAATAAAAGATAATACGGGTACTACCAGCAAGAGAGTGCTACAGCATATACTGCTGGCAAGCAGTGAGATGTTTGAAAAAGAAAAATCAGCAAAGTACTCTGCCCTTATAATTCCTCTGACCTCGGTTGCTGTGATTGTTATCTCTGGAGCAACTTGAAGTGAAAGGCATTAGAAAAGCTCTCCAGAATAAAATGAAGTCTGTAATTGTTTTAGTTTCCAAGAATACACTTTGGTGAATGTTACATCACTTGCTTATGTCTACAACATATTCTTGAAAGCAGAAGGGGGGTCACTTAAAACACTTCTTATAAAATATTTGAAGTCTCTGTCACTTCATTATAGTAATCAGCAATGAAGTTTTGTTTAAGTATAGACAGTCTGTGATGCATGCAGAGAAGACCCCTCCTATGTTCCCTCTATGGTCACACAACAAACTGCCATCATGCTTTCACTAGCATCACATTTCCACCTCAATTAAATTCCCTGTATACTAAATAACCATCCTAAACAAGTTCTTATAGATCAAGTGTTGTTAACCCTCTACCCAACATCAGAAAACTGAACGACCACACTCTGCTGATTGTCTACAACTGATTTTCCATTATAGTCACAAAAAATAAGCTATCCTCTCCATCCACATCCCAAAGGTGCCATTTTGTGGTGACAAGAAACTCACTTACTACAAAATGCCTGCTATAACATGGTGCAATTTCTCACCTCTTGCTGAAGCACTATTTCTTAAAACCATCATACAAATAAAATATTGTAGCAGGTAGACTTGTTACTAGGTAAAAATCATAAACAAACGTGAATCAACATGCAGCAGTGGAGGTACTGTTGAAAAAGGTGTTTCTTGTAGTGGTCTTTGCTGAGGAGTTATAAATGGGACAAAGTGAAGACTGAGTTCAATTGTTGGAGTTGTGGGATCTATGCCAGACAGCAAGGAATTAAGTGAACAGTGTTAAAATCCGTAACCACTAAGTGTCTAGTGAAGACAGAGAAGACTTTATGTATGCTGTAGTTTCAGTGACTCTGGAGTGTGTGACTCAGTGAGACTGTCATAATTACTTGTAGTTACAATCCATAAGTGGTCAATAAATCCAATTATCCAAAACCCCATCAACAGTCACTCATACATGCGACAATATAAACTGTCAAAGTAATGGGGTTGTATTGTTATTTGATTGGAAGCCATAAGAAGCAAACATACTCACCCACAAAATCTGTAAAGAGTTATATGTAACGCTTCTTCTTTCTTCAACACATAATTTCTCTCTGAAGCCTGCTGACATGTCAGTAACACAACTGACTCATTACATAGTTAGTCCAGAATACGTGTCAATGAAAACAATATCAAATTGCATCAGCATGACAAAAACTTCAATGATGGATCTTTCTTTAAGTTCTCTCAAGATTATGGCCATGCACTCCATTATCTAATGCCATAACTGAATTCAATATGACCTTATGGACTCTGGATTCAGAACATAAAAAACAATGATAGGTTCAGAAAATAATCAGGCTATGAAAGAAGATTAATGAAGCAGCAGAGGACAGTCATGGATCAAGAACAGAAATTCAGCCTTATAGTACAACCATTCACTTTCTTGACAAGTGCAAAGTGCAAAGACAATAGCTCACCATTACACTTAACCCTGAGCTAAAAAAAGTTCTCAAATCCATTTCCTTAAGATATGTTTAAATATTACCTTCCCAATTACATCTTAGTTTCCTCAAGGAACTACTTTCTTTGATATTCCCCATCAAAATTCTGTATACTTATCATGTTTTCCATGCATGATCTACATGTTCAGACCACAGAAACCTTCACAATTTGATTATCCTAAGAACACTAAAAATAAATATATACACAAAGAAGGAAGTTCTGCACAAATAACATGTACCTAGTAACGCATTAAGTCAAAACAGGGATATGCAAAATGCTGTAACTTCTTCATGGCAACCCTTAATACACGCTTTCCCATTTCATACACAAAGCTTACAAGATTATAATGTCAGTATCAATGATTCTCAGCTGCCCAATTACTTCCCAGCACTTCACAGAACTCAAAGGCTCACCGCCATGCTCACAAGATCCTGCCACTGGTTCCTATCTTGAGCCACATTAAGCCTTACAACTTGAACTACCTATGCAAACTGGTAGATAATGCATTAGAAAGGTAAATTTGGGATGCTATGTCACCATGTATAATTACCAAACTGATTATTTTTTTTTCTAGTTCAAGCCTATTCACTACTAGCCCAAGAGCTGAAATGTTTAATACAGTGTGACAGGTACTAGAGAAAATGATCTTGTAGAGTAATTTTATTCTCCTTAATACTACTATGGAAATTCATTGTTTATACATCTTTGCATGTTCAATGCCATATTCCAGAGCTGAAATTATGTAAATGGAGTATCATGTACCTGACATCTTTTCCACTAGAACAGGTTATGTATGGGTGGAAAATTCTAAACAGTGCCTTCACTCTAGTCACCCTTTCTGGTCCTGAACAATTAAATTCATAAAATATCTCTGATATCAATTAAAATTTATATTCTATTTCCACCCCAAATGGTTTTCAATTTTATATCTATATACCAGTTACAATATTTACAAACTGAAACACAAGCTAGAAGAAACACGGTTGTAACTTCTGTGATCACCAGTCTTTCCAGTGGTATGGGTAAGTAAAAATATGTCCACAAGTACATTCCCACTGCAGTTCCTTCCCTTACCTAGATGGTGAAAACAAATACTTGCACATTATTTTGAAAATTCTTAAAAGATTGTGGACCAGTGATACAAAAATGCATCCTAATGCACATTAGCTTTTAGTAATTCTTTTTAACAATTGTCACCAATGAATATCCTTCGTTTCATCCACCGAGTGCTTTAGATACCATGGACTCTCACTACTTCCAATTTTTCCCTCTACACTGAAAAGAAATGTTAAAACTAAAATGATGGCATGGCAAGATGGCAGATTGTCAATGTAAAGAAATAATGACTTGCAGACAGTGATTCAGATCTGGACGATGAAGATCATAAGACAGGAGTTGGTGATAACAGTATTAGTTGGAATGCACTTAGTAGTGAGTCTGCTTATAAACCGTGTGGTTCGAAGACAAATTAGGTTATTGTCAGTAATAATGATAGAAAACTGGCGAGTGTGTGTATGCAAACAGCACTAAAAGTTCCCTGGACATTCTTCTACACTGCAGTCCTTGCATCATTCAGGTATGTGGACTATTTTATGAGTTACAACTTATGTGAAAACTATGTGCATTTATATTTTATATTTGTTATGTTTTATCTGAAACCTTTAGTTGTACTGTACATATCTTTTTCATATTTTTATAGCTTGTTGCACATTCTATGGTCATTTCTGACCTCTGGAACCATGGAATGTAATACATGTATACATATGTAAGTCAATTTGCTCAGAAAGTGTGTACAGTCTGGTCATGGAATTAAATTAAGAGACATGACACTCTCACTAATGCAGTGATATATATATGACTTACCAACCTTGATCTGAGGCTATATTCTCTGGTGTAAATGCCACTCTAATGAGACTTCGTTCTCCTTCCAAGATAAAGATTTCATCTTTGTTAACAGCTACATCCAATACTCCTCGTAGATCTGCTACTGTAGCAACCACAGTAATTGTTATAGGATTCAGAACATACACTACATCACTGCTGTAGGTCACCAGATGTTCTCGAAACACAAGAAGAGGGCCAAACCGGTGATCGCCACGTGACTGTCTAACATGAGATGAAGCAGGGTTGATGAGAGGTGTGTGAGTATGTTCTTTCATTACAGCATCCTGTTAGGAGACAAAAAGGGATGACACAATATGTATCATAATCAAAATATCTTGCAAATGATATATGATGATATCTCTTGGTAATCTGTTCCTTAGGATATTTAATAATGGGTGCCTAAACTGTAGCAATGAATGAAATATGCATGGACAATTATAAAGGAAGAAAATGGGTCATCCTAACCATACAAAGTACTTTGTCCACTGATCCCAACAATGTACATGCAATGCTTTCTTGAATGTACACCAAGGCCAGTCTCAATTAGTAGTAACTGCTACACTGTTAAAGAGTTTACCATTTCTATATAGTTATTGAGGCATTATGACAGTAGTGTTTGAAGGGGAAAGGGAGGTAGCAGACCATAGCCTGATTTTAGCTCGGAGAGTGTGAGAAAAACCGCAATAACCCCAGTCTGGATAGCCACCAATGATAAAGTTTTGTGTATACAAAAAAAAAAAACTACCACTCCGCTATACCTTTTGGTAAGTCCTACTTAACTAATTGGGGGCATGCAGTAGTGTAGTTGGTTGAGGCACTATGTTACAAGCCAGGTCGTCATTAGAGTCCCGATGAGGTCACCGGATTTTTCACTAATCCTTCCAGCTGCACTATGGACCTAGGGTTGACTCAGCCTCTAACTGAAATGAGTACCAGGAATCTTCCGGGGGGAGGGGGGTAAAGGGCGGCCAGTGTATAAGGTTGAGAACCTTACCGCCATCTGCAAGCCAACTGTCTAGAAAATGTGGAAGCCTAGACATCTCACAATCATATGGTCTTTCACGGTCTGTTACAGGGATAGCTTTACCTTTTTCTTACTTAACTAATTAATTCATTAAATAAAAAGGGTCCTCCTTGAGCACATCACAGATTTATTCAAGTGGTAAAAAAAATCCTACTATGGAACCTGATGTTCACTAAGGCCCAGCACAGGACCCTATTCTGATCCAGTTCAATTCACATCTGTTTTCACTTCTCTATAATCCATTTTAGCTATATGCACATGGTATTTTCTGTTGAGGTTTCTAACCAGACTATTGTGCATATTCCTCAAAAGTATCACTATTATACCTTATAAATGAGTGTCTGCTGAACAACACCATTCTTATCTGCAAGCCAAACACGCAGACCAGGTCTACTTGAATACACCACCAACTCCTGGGGATGACCAGAGCCAAGATAAAATGTTGCTCCTAATCTGCCCAGCCTGAAGAATGGAAATAACATATCAGATACCAGCAGCAGTGCATGTTCATGATCAGTGAAATGTATATGCAGAAGTATTCTGTGTTGAGATAAGGACTGCCTTACATTAACAGTATGGTCTTCTGGATGGTTATGCTATGTAGCCTGGATACAGCCTGAAATTTCAAAGGAACATGCTGCCTCCACCTTTAGGGTTAAAGAGTAAGACAAGCAAGAAACCAGCAGAAAGAGGCAACAAGATCAACTTCTGCTGGTTTCTTGCTTGGTTTACTCTTCAGCATTAAAGACCAGTCATTATACACAGCAAATAGTACAAACTATGAAGCTCCTCATTATGCAGTTTCCTCCAACCTCCTGTCACTTCAACCCTCTTCGGTCAAAATATTCTCCTCAACACACTGTTCTCAAACATCCTCAGCCTATATTCCTCCCTTAATGTCAGAGAACAAGTTTCACACCCATACAAAACCACAGGCAAAATCAGAGTTTTGTATATTCTAATTTTTATGTTTGTGGAAAGCAGATGAGAAGACAAACGGTTCTGGACTGAATGGTAGCAAGTATTACCTGAGTTTAATCTCCTCTTAATTTCCTCCTCAATCAGGTTTTGATTTGTTATTGTCCTTCCCAAACATTTGAACTGTGCCACATTTTCAAAACATTTGTTTCCTATCATTATGTTATGATTTTGCCCTGCATTTTGGTGATGAGACAACATCAACTTAGTTTCTGCTTACTTCTGGACCAACCTCCTTACTTGCATCAATTAAAGTTTATGTTGTTCTTTATGGTATCTATATTATCATCCAGTAGATTCACATCATCAGCATAGACTAACAGCTGATGTGTCCTGTCTAATTTCAGTCCCACCTGATTTTGCTGGACCTTCCTAATGGCATATTCTAAAGCAAAGCTGAAAAGGAGTAGCAATAAAGCATCTCGTCTTAGACCATTCGGGACAGAAAATTTATCAGACAAATGCCTACCTATGCGGACTTTACTATAAGTTTCGTTTAAACACATTTTAATCAGCTTAACTAGTTTCATGGGTATCCCAAACTTTATCAGAATATTGTACAATACTTCCCTCCTAACTGAATCATAGTCTATGAATAGCTGATGTACTGTCTCATTGTACTTCCAGTTTTTCTTCAATATCTGACCAATGCAAAAGATCTGATTTGTACTTGATCTGTTACGTCAAAATCCACACTGATCATCCCCAGTAATTTCATCTACTTATGGACTTAACCTTGAGAGAAGAATACTGGATAAAATTTTGTATGAAGTTGATATCCCTTGATAATTACCTCAGTCGGTTTTGTCACCCTTCTTGTGAACTGGTACAATAATAGACTCCTGCAACTGATCTGGCAATTTTTCTTTATACCAAATATAAGTAATTAGTTTAAAGACCTTAGAATGTAATAGTTCACCTCCTGCTTAAAGTTCTGCCGGAATTTGATCACTACCTGGCGATATATACCTTTTCAATTTTGCAATAGCACATTCAACCTCAAAAGTGCTATGATCAGGTAGTAATTGCTCAGCTGTGTGAATTTCTATCTGCCTAACATCACTGACCCTATGTACATTCAATAAGTGAGAGAAGTAGTTCTTCAACCTATTCAAAATGTTGTGGGAATGTGCAAGCAGATCACCATCCTCATCCTTCATTAAGTTACTTCTAGGTTGGTAACCCCTATTAAAGTCATTTATTCCTCTATACAGGTCTCTATGTTCTTGTTCTTACTGTTCATAGCAAGCTCATCAATTTTGGCTTTCAGATATTCCCTCTTTTCATTCCTGAAATGCCTGCTGGTTTCACGTCTTATATTGTTCAGATTATCCCCATTTATTTTGCTTGGATCCTGTAACCATTGCAGTTTGGCTTGTTCTCTTTGGTATAGTAATTCTGAGCATCCTTCATCTAACAATGGCTTATGCTTCTTCAGTTCATTATAACCTAGACTCTCTTTGGCAAAAATGTTTATATTCTCTCTAACAGTCTCCCAAGCTTTATTAATACTTTGCGGACCGGCAATTTAAATATTTAAATCACCCTGGGGACCGGCATTTTTAAACCTACTACCCTAACTTGTGCACTGTTCATTTTAAAAATTAATATAAAATCTCATAATTAATTTTATGAACTAAAATTTTTGGAGAACACTTACCAATGCTCCTAGGAGTGCTTGAGAGCGTGATATTTCTGGAAACATTCCCCTTTGTGAAGTGGCATTACACAGAACTTGCAATGTACACAGTCATACTCCTTTTTTTTTTTTTGTGAACTGTGCAAACACAGCATTTCCTAGAAGGATGCTTCCCCTTGGAATGTTCACTCTTCACAATTTTCATGGGGGTATGTTTCCGCATATCACCCAAGAGTCGCCCAGGGGGGTCCACATGAGGCCTGCATGGGGTGGGAGTTGATGGGTCCAGTAGCACTAAGTCTGTGTCTGACTCTGGTTCTGCCACCACCATCTGGTCTGTAGCCCAGGCCTTTACCACATTCATCAGAAATGCTTTGTATTTCAATTCTGAATCAGGGTTTAGATTTTTGTAAACCAAAAATGAATTGAAAATGGCACAATTTATAAGCCACAAGGCAACTTTCTTTATCCACTTTATTGTTTTCCTACGAAGAGAATAATAGGCAAAGTATTGATCGGCTCTATCAACTCCCTTCATGAACATATTATACTCAGAAATACAAATAGGCTTCTTTACTTGTCCATGTCTCCTTTGAACATCAACCATGCTTGAATTGTGAATTGTGGAAATCATATTCACAACATGAGTACCCCTCAAGGACTGAAGAAGAATATCCCCTTCCTCCTGAATGTGGTTTCACCACGTTTCAGGGATTTAGATTCCTCTTTCAGATCTAGAGGAAGGCCTCTGTTCACCGTAACTGTTCCACAAACACATACCTTTCTCAAAAGAAGGTATTCTGCAGTTACCACACTGTTATAATAATTGTCTTGATAGACATGGTGATTTTGATCAAGATAGGGTTCCAAAACGGAAACAATAGTTTCTGTAATTTTTTGTCTTCACCAGAATAAATTTCTAAATTTACAATATAGCCTGAAGTGCTTTCAATAACTACACAAACAGGTAGGCCATACTTTGTAAGTTTCCCAGGATTATATGTTCGCATACGAAGCCTTCCCCTCCAAGGAATCACAGATTCGTCCAAAGACAGTTGTTGGTTTGGCTTATAAACTGTCTGAATTTTCTGAACGAAAAAGTTTAAATTAGGCTGAATTTTGAAAAGCCTGCTTGTTGATTGAGGTTGCAGTTCATTATTATTGAAATGCAAACACCACCAAATTTGTTAAAATCTCTTACGGCTCATTAGTTTGCCGAAAATAGGAATTACTAAAAATGGATCTGTTGACCAACACTTTTTTAGATTATCCCTCCTTGTATGCCCCATTAGAAAGATTATTGCAAATTTTTTTTTCATGTCTGCTGAAGTGACATCCACCCACTTCAACACCTTATAACTTCTGTCATACTCTTCACAGTTTTGGAGATGGTATCTGTTAGTTTCCTGACATAACATGTCAAAGAAACTATCTCCAAAAACATTTCTGCTACTTCAGACACTTGGGTTGGGTCCGTCGAAATTTGTTTCACCCCTGGATTTCCAGTAAACTGTCCCAAAGTAGGCGTTTTGTCTACTTTTCCCCATGTGGCTGTCCCCGCAATGTTACTACCTGCATTTTCGTCAAAGCTATTGTCACTTTTACTGTCTGTGGCCACAATTCTTTGTTGTCCCTTGTCACTGCCACTGTCTGAGTCACTATCACTATACGTCTCACAACGCATGTCAGATAGCTCATCAGAGAACAAGTCAGATATTTCTTGTTCTCCAAGAGATCACTTGGTCTTCAACCGCTTTTGTCCTTGATCCACACTGCACTATTTACTGCCTGGTACATACAGCTTGAAGATGAACAAGGGCATTTTCCTGGAGTGGGATAGGAAAAGAGCGAGGTCATGTTACTGACTACTAAGCAAACATTCAGGAGGTCTATTACGCACCAGTTATGCATCTGCGTGGCGCCAGAGCAAGGTTACAACATACAACATAACATGTCCTAAAATCATAATATTATGCGACCGGTCCGCCACGTTAAAAAGCAAAAAGCATAATATTATGTGACTGGTCCGCAAAGTATTAACATCCACCTCAGTGTCCAAGTTTTCCAAAGCTGCAAACCTATTTGAGATTTCAACATGATACTGCTCTTTACCCCCTACCTCATTTCATTTCTTGAGACTGAACCTCTCCATATCAACTCTATGCATTGTTTGTTTGCTCACTACCAGTCTTTCCCTAACCTTTGCCACCACTAGGTAGTGGTCAGTATCATAATCTGCTGAATCTGCTGAATGATCGGACATCAAGTATACTCGAATGCCGTCTCCTATGTCAAAATATTGTCGATTTGATTGTGTATCTTCCCATCAGGAGATGCCCAAGTAAATTTATGGATGTTACGATGTGGGAACATTGTACTTTTGACAGTAAGATTTTTTGATGTGGCAAAGTTTACTACTCTAACTCCATTATCATTACTAATTTCATGCAAACTCTCATTCCCAATTGTTGGTTTGAAAATGTCTTCCCTCCCTACTTTGGCATTGAAATCTCCTAACAAAATTTTCATAGGGTACTTCAGGAAATTATCAAATACATGTTCTAGTTCTTTACAGAACCTGTCCTTTATGTGATCAATTTTATCTTCTGTTGGGACATGAACATTCATAACGATGATATCACACCAGCGACCGTTTAGTATTACATATGATATCCTATCACTAAGGAACTCTACCTTCTTAACTGCTACCTATGTACATTCAATAACTAAGAATAGTTCTTCTACCTACTAAAAATGTTTTGGGAATTTGCTACCAGATCACCACTGTCATCCTTTACTAAGTTAGTTCTAGGTTAGTAACCCTTCTTAAATTCATTTATTCCCCTATTTATTCCTCTAATGTTCTTGTTCTTACTGTCTGTTGTGAACTTACTACATATGAAGAAGAAATGGAAGAGAAGTACTAATGAACGATGAACTACTGCTGTATATTTGAACTCTTTCAAGCTTTGAGAAGCTACATTTACAATTTGGCTACGCTCAGACATCCGTACGAGAAAATGTACACATTGACAAAAGCCCATCACTAGACAGGATCACTATTGGCACAGAGTAATATTCAACCCACTGGATGATGGGCCTGGCACTGAATGTGTTAAGAAGCACTTTAATATTTTTCTAGTGTTAAGCATTGAATCCTAAGTTCTAGTATTTATCGTGCATTATTAATAATGAAAATACCAGAATGAGTAAAATGTCAGAACATTTTTCTTGTCTGGCTGAGTGGATAATGCAGTAAAAGTCTACAAACATACTGCCAGAAAAAGGCTTATAAAATATGAGACATTACCAAATAAGGTAATGATCTCATTTCAACAGGTACTGTTATAATACTGTAATATAATGGTTACAAAAATAAAGACACATATGCAGGCCTGAAAGAGTTTTACAAACATAGACATCAACAATCAATTTCAAGGATTAATTCCGATCTGAACACAGTATGTTACACATCTTATTACATAAAGTTTTTGCCCAAAGATTTAATTACTGATACTGCTGGGAAGAAAATAAAATCTATCATGAAAAAGAGAGATGTGAACAATTTCTGTAAAAGCAGCGTCAATCAGCTGAACTGGAAAAATATTCTATACATTCATGTTATGGTATGAAATACCTGTAATTTAGAAGATGTCTGTCTGAATTACCTACTGGCATATAAAAACCAAAAGTACATTGAAAATTAAACCTGGTAACTTTCTGGTGATGCTGTATTAATCTATGTTACTATCTGATGATGATGATGACGATGACCGATGACGATGGCCTTTCTAAAATGTTCTAGATCAACATTACATGTGTAACACAACAATAAAACTGCAAAAAAAACTCAAAAACCTTTTTCAAAGCTTGAACTTTGCTGTCCTTAATGTGAGATGAATGTATCTTTGACACTGCATTTGAGCAGCAAAATCAATATACAATGAAATACTGATCACTTTACTGTGATCAATGCCTTCTTCAACTTCTTCATAAGTAAACAAAGAGGCTGAATATTTATACTGACCTGCTACAAGAAGTTTCAATTTCCTAGCACAATATCCTCATCCTTACATTTTCTAGCAATTTTTAAAAGTAGGCTGAAAAGAGTATGCATAGACTTCTACATTCTCTGACTTTCTATTTAAATTGAGCAAAACTTACACCTTTTTGATTTCAGGATATCAATGAAGTGCTTCTATCTCTGATTATTCACAGAGACTAATATCAGGCTGAAAACTCTGAATTATCCATTTGTGAAGTAACTTAAATTTCTGTGGCAGATCAACAGTCATGGCAGTTGATGTAATTTTGGAACATTACTACCCTCCCCCAAAAGGAATAGAATTAACAATTTTAAAATGTCTGATAAAAATTGTGATTATGACTAATCATGTGTGTTGGACGATGAGTTTGGTTAAATTTATTTAAACCATGAAAATGTAAGGGGCACTGTCTTCCTCTCATCCAGAAGATGGCGAAGATCATTACAAATCTTATGATTAAATGTCAAATTGCATGCACAGACATGAGAAAGTAACCAAAAGTGCATATTTTTTGATAATTATTTTAGTTCATTTCACTGAAAATAATCTTATAAGGAACAGATAATATTTTAAGAGAAACTCACACTTTTCTTTCCTTCTGCCCAACCTGCGAAACCTTCCAACGATCCTCTCTGTGACAACATACGATGCTTCGGTATAACGTTGAAATAAGTAACAGCTGCTGACTATAGCTCAGCTGAACAATTTCATACTTCTCATTCAGTAACTCCACTGACTTACTGAGATGCTGTAACAAGAATTACGATCTTCCTCAGGTTAAAGTACCAAAGGGAGTGAATCTCACTTCTTAATATATACTGTTCTTTCTTCACAGAAAAGTACAGTACACTTTCAATGATTCAGTACCCAAGCACCTAGAATTCTCAATCAAACAGCAAAAATTTCAAAGAAAATATACTATTCTTATAATGTTATTCAAAAAACAATTTGTGATGTGCATATTTTCACCTGCCACACAGCAGTTCTCCCACCCACAACTAGCAGCATGACCCACCATCTTCCCTCACCCTGGTGCCATTACAATAGAAGCAAGATGAACTTGCAATATTACAGTACATGTACCAAAATCTTTCATCCATCAACCTGCTATGTCATCTAAGAAGACTCCCACTCAATAACTAAAACAAAAATGTGTTTCAACTTTGTGCCACATTTCTAAAAGAGGACACTTATTTAACTGGCTGCCCAATGCCCCATACATGCCAGATAATTGGGAGTTTAATGTAGAAAGTACTTACAGAAGATAATGCAAGTGACAACATTTTAACATTTAAAAAATGAGAGTACCAAGTACAGTACATGTCTTTGAGCTATGCTTAACGAAGTAGTGTAAATTTAAATTAACAACAGTGGAAAGTTTATTTGACTTGAAGGACTTTCCCAAATGTGTCCTTTGTGACTTTACATGCTTCCTGCCTTTCCTATAATTGCTACTGCAAATATTACAGCAGAACAAGAAGTTCTGGGAAGAACTAATCACCTAATTTCCTTTTATATGACATGGACCGCATTGAAAATGACGCCATTGGGACATGTTTACTGAGCAACAATAGGAAACTACACAGCCAGGCCCACAGACTCTCCTCTGACGACACGGACCACACAGAAAATATCACATCCAACAATTCTTCCACTGTTGTGTGTATTCGTGGCCGCGATAAAATTCTTACTGAGCTGCTGCCTAGCAAAACACACACACAGACTAATGGGAAAGATTTATGAAGTATGTCATTCAGATGGCTCAGGAGCCATGATACACACAAGTTTCATAAAGACTGGTTCAGGCACTCAAAATTTGATACAGAGGATTCACAGACACACAGACGGCATGGTGAACTCATAAGCCTACTTTTACTTCTTCTTTCTTTTTTTTTCCAAAATAAGGAAGTTAGGCTAAAAATAAAAATTGTTTTTCATGTCATTAATATGATCTCATGAAAATATATATTATATGACATTTCTCTGAAATAGTATAAACTCTTTTACTTCAATAATATTTTGGTTCCTAAATTTCATTACCATTCAAACAGCATAAACCCTGAATTTATACTGTCACGTGTTGGGTGTATACGCGACAAATAATTTCACGCCATATTGGATATAGCGAATTTTATTTCACATTCACTCTTACAATCCCACAATTTACAATTTCACAACTACTGCCATCTGCAGTATCACATATACTACACTGCAAATGCTGTGACTGCCTGGCTGAGTCGTAACTCGTAACTCGAGAACTCTAACTAACTGCTGGCTAACTTGGAGCTAACTGTGAATAGCGTTCGCTGCTCCTTACAGCGACTATTCTTCGTCCGTTACAATACTATACATACACACAGAATCACACTAATTTTCATAGATTTTTCAATAAAACTTACTCAAATTACAAAACCAACCAATATTTAAATATGTAACCATATATTTCCTTCAATTACAGAAGGAGAAACACACTAACATCAAAGTAAGTTCCATTACATTGCAGACACAAATATGTCATTGTAGACTATTTACACCACATGTTATTTTTCCTCCTATTTTGTTAAATAGTCAGCATCTCAAAAAATGCTTCATACAGAATTTGTATATCTTAATGAGATCTCTATTTTATGTTAAGTACAATTTTTCTGTATGACCAGCTATTTCTAAAAAAAAATTGATAAAGGTCAATTTGGGCTTACACAGAGTTTATGTTTGATCAGTACATGATGATATTTAATTACCTCAACAACTCTTAATCTAAACACTTAATACATATATTTTATATACAGCCACTGCTTCATTTCAGAAACATGCAGACTGATGTGGCCAGATATACCCCACCACTATGCATGAATTCTGTTCAAAGAATGGACAGAAAATCACATTTCTCATGTATTCTGAGGTCTTCTAATTACCCTGTATAAAACCAAACTCTCCTCAGTTATGTCAAGCTAAATATAAATGCAGTTCAAATACTCATAAAGGGGATAATACAACTCAGGAAATTATGAAAACGTTATCCTTTGAATTCTACATTAAGACAACATGTCATTTGCAATATTAATTACACATACCATATAAAAATCAATCTCTGTGAGAACTACAAGCCCATTTTTGTCGCCACTAAAAAGTTTCATGCCATTCATACTCCATTCTATTGCTGTTACAGGAGACGAATGAAGCCCACTGATACTGTATCTTTCGACCTAAAACAAACATAGTTATTTACAATACTTCAATAGTGATTTACTGAATACAGTCAATTCCTGATCATCCATACTAATGAAGCAGAATGAAGGCCTAATATACCATCCTTTATGGTACAAATCCCATTATCAAATCTGGCTGTCAGCACCACAGTAGCAGATGATTTGAAGCTATACAATGAACATTTATTAACTCATTTGTAATAAATTTCCATCAGATTCAGTGCAATATCCAAATTATATTTCTAACACACGTACACCACAAAACATCAGGAAACCTTCCACCCAGGTTATCCACTAACCATATCTATCTCTCTGGTCATTGCTTTCCTCTAAATCATATTTAGCCTGTTTACCTCTTGCTCACGTCTCATGCCTACTCTGATCTACTGTAGTTGGTACTATTCACCTAACCCTGAAAGTCCTTCGTAGGCCAAGAAGAATAAAAGAAAGCAGCGCTTCATTCAGGGAACTGAGTCTGAACCACAATGTGATGACCAGGGCCCGGATTATGACATGTAATCTTTTTTCCTTGTATCCTATTCAACGCCTGTAAATATATAAATCCCGGAGATGAGCTGCTGGTTACAGAAATGTAACTTTCATGGGTCATTTTTTGTCATTTTTAAGTTTTTAGGTCATTTTTCGGTTTGGGGGTAATTTTTTGGTACATTTTTGGACTTTTAAGTGTATCTTTTGTCATTTTAGCCATTTTAGGGAATTTTCTTCCTATGTTTTCAGAAATGTGAATAATATGCAAGTAAAGTGTTCTTTTTCTTTCTCCTGCCTCTACAAAGGCAGCCTGCAGCTGCACCCCAAATACCTGCTACCACAGTATGCAATAATAAGTTGTAATCCTGTCGCATCCTTTCCGTTCATTTTGCGGAAAGTGCTGACATTACATATCATAAAACATTTTAAGCTGGCAGCAGGGTACGACAGTGGTCACTCTCACTGCAGCCCTTTCCAAGTTCTGTGAAAAGAAATTTGCTCAGTTACAAATATTTCTAGTTGGAATCCCTCGCTTTTTCTGACATACTGTTGCTCAATAAAACTCCTTCTGTCTTCAGTTTCTCACCCTTGACCATACAGGCGAAGATACGGTTGACAAAGGGTTCTCAGTGTGAAAAGTTCAGTTCTGTGTTGCGCTAGTGATTCATTTTATCGGGATGCCTAAAGCAAAGCCATCTAAATCGTGTCATTTAAAGCAGATTTTAGCTGACTTTGGAGATGATATATTTTCAACTGACGATAACATTTTATACTGTAAGATGTGCAACACAACATTAGCGGCAGAAAAATGTTTCACGGTACAAAAACATATGGGCTGCAAGAAGCATACCATATTTACGCATGTAGAGGCCGCGTGCGTGTATAGGCCGCAGCACAATTTTCAGACAGAAATTATAGAAAAAATAATTTTCTTGGAATATTATTTCAGGAGTATTACACCCTGTATTACTAATTATGAATATAATTTTTTTAAAATGAGGTGTGATTTTGAATATTTCGAATATAAGCCGCACCCCAGTTTTCCTCTTGAATTTTTGGCAAAAAATGTGCGGCCTATACATGCATAAATACGGTATATGAGAAGTGCAAATTTCAAACAAAAAGAAATCTGTGCAAATGTCAATGCAACAGTGTTCATCTGTAGGTGGAAATAAGTCACTGGATTTTTTCACAGATCTGTGTGATGCTCTGGTGTCTACAGATATTCTATTTTGCGCTCTGAAAAATGAAAAACTGAACAATTTTCTGGAAGTGAATTGTAGTTGTTCGATCCCAGATGAATCCACCCTCAGGAAAAATTACCTTTCCAAGTGCTATAACAATATCCTGGAAATGATTAGGACTAAAGTGCATGGGAAGATTTTTGTTTCTATTGATGAGACCTGCGATACGGAGGGTCGCTACATGGCAAACGTCATCACTGGAACCTTGGAAATTGATGAACCAGGGGAAGTGTTTCTACTTACGAGTGAGGTGCTAGAATCCGTTAATCATTACACAATTTGTAAACTCTTTGACAGGCTGATGTTTCTACTGTGGCTAGTAGGTATACGACATGACGTCGTCTTGCTTTTTGTGACCGATGCAGCCCCATATATTTTAAAATCAGGCAAGTCAATAAAGTCGTTTTATACGAAATTGGTGCATGTTACTTGCCTAGCACACGTACTGCACAGAGTGAGGAAGTGAGATCAAGATTTCCTCAAGTGGATGTCCTTGTGTAGCGGACGAAGATTTTCAAGGCTGCAGCTCGTAAAATGCAGTTTAAGTCTATAGCTTCTTGGCGTCCCACTGCCCCCAGAACCCATCATCACAAGGTGGGGAACATGGATTGATGCTACAATTTACCTTAGCGATCATTTTCAGGTAGTGAAAAACGCTGTAAATTCAATAAAGACCGAGGATGAGGGCAATTGAAGCTGCTCAGGAACAGTTCTCATGCAGTGAAATGGAAGGACAGTTGGCCTTAATAAAGGCAAATTTCAGTCCCTTGATGGAAGGAATCAAATGCTTATAGGGGGAAAGGAGCAACGCTAGAAGATTCGTTCACTCTGTTGAAAAAAATAGCCAGTGATTTGGAGAAATTGTCAGGGGACATTAGTAAAATGGTGTCAAGAAAAATGAAACATGTTCTAGATATATGCAAGTTATGAAACATTACACAACATTTCTCGAATTCTGACAGGAGGGTCCTTCAGCACTTTCAATATTAAAGGGGAACTTACTGCTAGTGATTTGGTACACTTCAAATACGCTCCCACTGTGTCTGCAGATGTGGAAAGGAGTTTCTCCAAGTACAAGAATGTGCTGTCAGACAAGAGGTGCTCTCTCACTTTCGAGAATCTCCACATGCTGACAGTCATCTATTGAAACGCTGAATGAGGTGACACTTAATTATTGGAATATATATCATATATGTACATCTGCTAAGCGTTCCAACACAGTAGGAAAAAAATCATATTAAAACATTTAGCTTCAAATTCAATCATATATTGTTTAATTTTCAACACAAAAACGAGGACAAATTTAAAAGATTAACGTTGAGTTCACAGTGTTAATAAAGATCAAAAATACATTTTAAAACAATTAGTAGATTTTCCAAACATGATACATTTTTAGGCCACTTTTTAACTTTTAGATAATTTTTCTGGATTTTTCAGTCATTTTCTGGATTTTCGGTCATTTTGTAGGTTATTTTTCTGTATTTTTTCGGTCATTTTGAAAATATTTTTAGGTCATCAAAATCCAGGCACTGGTGATGACTGTTACATATGGATGGAAACAAAAGAAAAAGAGATGAATGTATGACATACTTGTTTATTCTTCTTTGGTTTCATACTTTCTGGAAGACCATCAGGTGGTGTCTTAGGAATCTGGAACACAGTCACTATCCCCTGATCATTGCCTGCAGCCACCATATAGTCCACTGTAGAGATCACTTTAACACATGTAATAGGTGATCCTGTGTTCTGGAAACAAATCACCATATCTGATACATTCCTTTCATAAAACAAGCTTGTACAGAACATTTTCACTTATAAACCTCAAAAATTTTAGTCATGCACCTTTTTAGTGAATGAAAATATCTTACTTATATTTTCAAAACTTTTTCTGAGCTTAGAAAAATCCAAATATGAAAGAAGTAGACCTGGCTTTTCTCTTACTACTATACTGATATCCCAGAGCAAAAATTATTTGTGCTCAGAAAGCATACTATGCAAAAGTTAAGTGAAATGTGTGTAAATGTAGTGAAATCTGTTGTATATGTGGTGACTACAAAGAGTTATATCTTCTGATACACAACATCATGTAGTCTAGTGAAAGTCAACTGATATTTACATCACAACAATGCGCCCGCACAAACTTCCTTGAAAACCACAGAGTTTGTGGCTAACAACATGGTTATCATTCCCCATCCTCCCTACTACCCAGACTTAGCCCCCTCTGATTTTGCTTTGTCTCGAAAATTTAAAATGAAACTGAAGGGACGTTTTGAAACAATGCCTGACATCTAAAGGGAATTACAAGAAGCACGCGACAGCATGAATGACGACTTCCATGGTGCTTTTGAAACACAGAACAAAAGATGGGATTGCTGTATACATTCCCAAGTAAACTATTTTGAAGGAGATGGCAGCCAAAATTGAGTAAGTTAAGCCAGCATTTCTTTTTGGATCTAGTTCGGAATGTTCTGATTACTCTGATCAGAAGAAGAGAAACGAACACAAACCCCAGAACAGAATTCTATACCCCTAAAAGCGTTCATCCTTCAGAAAACTTTACCTCATGTTCACAAATGTGCAAAGTTCAGTGACTCAAAATCATCACTGAGAAAGACTACCTCAACAGCAGAAGATTACATATAGGAAGACCTGACATATCTCTCCTCTCAAAATATTTAACAGGCAATATTTTTTCATGAATATTACATATGCGAAGCTGTCACACAGGAGCATGTCCACTCCCATCCCTATAAGCTATGGTATTAGCTCACTGCTGCTTTTCAATATTGAGTGGAGACTAGAATGACTGCTCGCACCATGGGTTTACTCATTATAATTTTGCACAATAAGGCACTTCACAATAATATAAACCCTACAGTTACAAATGATTACAGTATCTGAAAAATGCTTTTACAGAAAAATGTACAAGCATGTGACAAGTGGCATTTTCTTCAACTAGTGAACTAAGCCAACTTTAATTCAGAATTATAACTGGACCCCTTCTGCTTTAGTTAAAAAAGAAAAAGAAACTTACCTCACAACGCAACCTTTGCAAGTCTCCCTTCTTCCGGTTATACCAGTACACTAAGCCAAGACTGGTCCCAACAGCAATGAATTCTGGCAGTATGTCAACACACGTCAGATTCAGGTTGTGCGTGAAAAGCCCTCTCTGGGCCTTCAGTGGGATCTGTTGGAGGAACCCAGTTAGAGGGGCCCACTCCCTTAACAGGCCATCTTCCTCTGACGACGGGTCAGCCATTCTTTGGAATGTGTCCTTTATAACGGCTGCTCAATCAATAATCTGCCATGACAGTTACAGAATATCCTTAAAAACACACAAAGAGGGCACGATCATTATATTAGGACTTGCAATTACTTGCTGTGAAGTTCTGATTTCACACAATATGTGAGGCATAACTAAAAATTTTCTGGACTGGCTGCAAAGTGCCTATACTGAAGTAAGTACAGAGTTCTTGTGCTAGAAGTTGGCAGAATACAATTTGCTGAATTACAAGTAAATGTGTAAGATTTGAGGCTTTCAGTCTGCTTTTACCGGTTCTCACGGTCTCTTCGCTTGCAGATTTCTTATATTTTTTTTCTTCTACCCTGAAGATGGGGGCGATACCTTCCTCCGAAACGTCGGTTAACACCACATATACACGGTGCCAAATCCCAGAAAACTGCTTTCTACAAGTAAATAATTTCAAAAACCTAGAAGCGACATGATGAAGCACAGTGCTACTTGCATCCCCAACCCCCACCCCAAGAAATTAAATATTTGGAAAAACATGATTTCAGAGAGGAGACAATGATCAAAACTGAAATACACATTTTTTTTTAGATAAAAAGTGGTATTACTTTCACTGAAGACAATAAATGCTGTAGGCACTGTTTTTCAACATCAATGGAACCATGGATCAGGAGTTCATCTCACAAGTACAAACCGTAAATTTACATCAGTGCACAGTGTTCTCTGGCATACATGGGAAAACTTCTGGCAGAAGAAAACATCCAGAGAAGCCAGTTTCTCCATGATGACAATAATCCTACTCAATTTGCTCTGACTGTGCAGGAATTTCTGGTTGGGTACTTAGTGAGTGTTGTCCCCCACCTTCTGTACCTCTTCCCCATGTGACGTTTGGTTTCAAGACTAAAGTTATTACTCTGAGGAAAGGTATGACATTATAATGATAAAAAAAACTGTAGCCTACACTTGCTGAGATCAAATCACAGGACATCCATAATGCTTTCAAATGTGGCAGAACTGCTGCTCTCACTGTACTGAGTCACAAGGAAATATTTAATGTGTACATATAAAGAAAAAGTCCAGTCTGAAAATTCTTCTCATCACACCTCATACCATCCTGAAAAACATATCTGACAACATTAAAGGTTCTATTATAATTACACAATGCAACCCAAAAGCTTTTAGTCAAATGAATGCTGAATTTGTAAATTATTCTCTCCCCTGAAAGAAGGAACAAATAACTGGCTGCAGGGAAGTTACAGTGTATGCTTCAGGCAAGATAGCAAGGCTCAAAACATTATCAACCTCATCACTAAAAGAGGAAAGTGGTCAATTTAAAAATTCAATAACTTCTGCCCCAGGAAGAACCCACTAAACATACCCCAAGTGCTTGTGGTACCAAGTCAAGTCACTGACTACACTTTTGCTGCTTCTTTATGACTAGTTCTGCTCTTGAAGGGAGAATTTTGCCAATAGTAGCATTAGTACAAAAAAAAAAGCTTAACCTGAAAGTTTTCAGCAGTGCAATAAGATTTTTCTCAGTTTATTTTTCATTTCTGGGAAATGTCGAATAATCAGACACATGACCTTAAGTTAGCACAGAATATAAAATTCAGTTCTGCTAAAATTAGTTTCTTGATCAGAGAAGGAGGTGAAATATTAGTCTGAAATCAGCATACTTATTCATTCTATCCAGAGTAATGCAACACATCAACAAACAAATATGACAAAGAAAAAGTACACCTACTTTACTGTAAGGTCGTAGGTTCAATTCCCGATGAGGTCATTGGATTTTTCAATTGACCTAATCCTTCCAGCTGCACTATGCCCCTCGGGTAGACTCAGCCTCTAATAGAAATGAGTACCAGGAATATTCCTAGGGCTAAAGGGCAGCTGGTGCATAAGGCTGACAATCTCACCGCCATCTGTGGGTTGAGTGTCTAGAAAATGTGGGAGCCTAGATGTCTCACAACCCTATGGGATTCCACGGCCTGTTACAGGGATAGCTTTACCTGTTTTTACAGCTACTTTATTATATGCCAGTAAGGAGATGAATCTAAAAATACACACACAGATAAGAATATGCTCATGTTTCATCAACAGAAAGTAAAAGTTAAAGTTGTACCTACGCTTAAATAGTTAAGGACTATGCCATGAAGACATGTGTGGGCGTGGAGGTTTAACCTTTCTTAACCTCAGCACTAGATGGAGATGGGTGGTCAACTTCACACATCTGCCTCTTTACCTTAAGGGAAGAACTCCCCAGTAACCATTGGATAGGAGGATGGGTGGATTCCAGAGTCGGTATGGATGCTGTCAAGAAGAGAAAAATCTTACAGTCCTGTGAACTGAACCTGGGCTCATCGCTGTACCAGCTTCAGCAGCAGAAAGTATAGCAAAATCATGATTTAAAGGCAACTTCAGAAATGTGAAAGATTTTAAATACAGTAAATTCCCCCTAATCCGACTTGTATGGGGATTGGGATGTATCCATTATATAAATTATAAAAACCTAGTACAAAGTCAAATACATATGCTTTTGCTTTGGTTCTTCTGTGGGAATCATCCTAGGTGACACAGTGAACTGATGGATCGAAGATTTTGGATGAATAACCTACAACATAATCACAAATTCAACTAGCCTGTACAGTAATGCCACTTGCAAAACAGAGAACAGGAAGCATTGGTAGTGATAGCAAGGAGAACTACCACGTGGTGGGTAAACATGTCAACATAAAAAAATTGTTTCTGAATAACTTCAGAAAAATTCCAAATCCTTGGATACTGGATAACCAGGAGTTTACTCTATAAGGACATGAGATGAACAACTAAAAAACAGTCATGGATGAAGTAAAAGCATATTATAAAACTCTGAAAAGCTTTCTACCACACAGTAAAGTTACAGGTAAGGTAAAGTTGTCCTTCAACTTAAATAAGCACCCACCATTAGAATGAATGGGGAAGTGGGAGTATAGCTATATGCATTCTCAACAAGTTGGTTCAGGCAATGACACTTCTCTTATTCTAAAGGTGTCTACCTTAAATCTCCGCCAGGACACAATACCCTGACTCAAAGTGTTTCACAGCTTCCCTCAGGCATATGCTACAATAGTATTTCCAATCTGACCATCTGATGCTTTCTTCCACAACCATTCTAATTCACTATTCACTTACCATTTTAACATCTGACACTATATATAGTTTGGGATACAGTAAATTCCTCACAATTCAGGATGTATGAGGAATAGGGTATGTTAGTTACATGAATCTGCAGGTTGTATGAGAAGAATTCTTACAGCAACCAATTTTAATCATTTCCCCATCTTTTTGTATTTCTATGTTCTGCTTTGAAGTTAAAAATAAAAGTTTTTGCATTAGTTTTTCTGTGGGTGTCTTCTCAGGACATGTGACACATGGAACTGAGCTCTTTTTGAGAAGCCTCAAATTGTGCAGCTACACAGGAACTTCCCAGCATTTTATGGAACCTGAAGGTTCATTACTGTCTTCGCATGAGCCCTCCACTGGTTCCTATCCTGAGCCAGATTGATCCAGTCCATCCCATCCTATCTCTCTAAGATCCATTTTAATATTGTCCGGCCACCTTCATCTTGGTCTTCCTAGTAGTCTCTTTCCTTCTAGCTTTCCCACCAATATCCTATATGGATTCCTCTTCTCCCCCGTTTGTGCTACATGCCATGGCCATTTCATCCTACTTGACTTGATCATTCTAATTATACTTGGGGATACAATGAAACACAATCACAATTTCAACTAACGTCCACTATATTCACACATAAATATGACTGCAATAATGTCTGCATCTGGGAGGATGATAGGCAGTGCTGTCAGTGGCTGCTGGAAGAACTACCACATGGTTGGTGCACATATGCATTTTTCAACTTTATTTTTTAAGTATCTTCATAAAATGCTAAATGATCTTTGAAATATTTGTCAGTTGCATGACAACTCCAGACACTTTGATACTATATAATGAGGAGTATACTGTACTAAAATGTTGTTAAATAAACCAAAAATATAATGAATCCATGGATGATTAATTACAGCTCTAGATGGTGGGAGGTAAACTGCATGACACTCCCATTAGCTTTACCCCCGTAGAAAGAGCTTTTGGAAACTGATAGGAGGCTGATTTTATCTTGCCACTTCCAGTCTAAAAACTTGATAACTGAAAAATACAAAATTGTAAATATATCTGTTCTCTTGGATGATAGTGAAACCTGATTTCTAACATTGAGAGAAGAACACAGAGTGAAGGTGATCTGACAGCAGAATGATGAAGAGAATGACTGGATATAACAGAAAGAAAGCAAAAGGATGATGAAGAAAAACGCATAATGAGGGGCTTCACCATGTGTACGATGGGGTACCCAAAAGAAACCGAACAAATTTTTTTGTGGGCAGAGCTTTTGTAGTTCCGCGTTTTGCCGCTATGAGCGCATAGAGCTAACATTCCTGAGTCGATAAGCCGACTACCATTGCTTCAGAAGGTAAGGACTAGTTTCGGCAGAGTTTATAGCGACAACTGTTTTGTGTGATCATCGTTTTTGCAATGGCTGATTTTCGTGAACAGCGTGCGGCGGCGAAATTCTGCTTTTTGCTCGGGAAAAGTTGAACAGAAACCTTGAAATGTTAAAAATGGCGTACAACGACGATGTTATGGGGAAAACTCAAGTGTTTGAGTGGTTTTCCCGTTTCAAAAATGGTGAAATGTCAATTGATGACAAACCTCGTTCTGGTCGTCCTTCCACGGCCCAAACACATGAAACTGTTGAAAAAATTCGTGAAATCATCAAGGAAGATCGACGACGGACCATTGAAGAAATTGTGGAGATGTCGGGAGTGACTTGGAGCTCAGTTCAGTGAATTTTGACAGAAGATTTGGGAATCAAAAGGGTGGCTGCGAAATTCGTGCCACGACTGCTGACTGCTGAACAAAAACAAGGTCGCATGGAAGCATGCTGTGCTTTGAAAGAAGAGTCCCGAAATGATCAAAATTTTTTTTTTTTTAATTATCACCGGTGACGAAACCTGGTGCTATGCTTACAATCCTGAATCAAAGCAACAATCAAGCCAGTGGAAGACTTCAAGTTCGCCTCGCCCCAAGAAAGCTCGTCAGGTGAAATCAAACATGAAAACAATGCTGATTTGTTTTTTCGATGTGAGAGGAGTCGTCCATTCAGAGTTTGTTCCGCATGGTCAGACAGTTGACCAGGCTTTCTACTTGGAAGTTTTGAAAAGATTGTGCAACAGTTTGCAGCGGAAGCGGCCAGATTTGTGGCAGTCGGGTGACTGGTTTTTCCATCATGACAATGCCCCTGCTCACACAGTCCTGTCTGTATGACAATTCTTGACGAAAAATGGTATGACCCCTGTTCCTCACCCTCCATATTCACCTGACCTGGCCCTGTGCGCCTTTTTTTGTTTCCTCAAATGAAAAGAGACATGAAACGAAAGCGTTTTGCTGATGTTGCTGAGGTGAAGGAAAAAATGACGGAAGCGCTGTCAAGCATCTCAAAAGATGAATTTAGACAATGTTTTGAAAAATGGAATAAAAGACTAGACAAGTGTATTAGTGTAAGTGGCAAGTACTTTGAAGGGGATTGAAGGTTTGTGCTTAAAACTTGAATAAATAAGTTAAAAAAAAAATAAGTTCGGTTTCTTTTGGGTACCCCCTCGTATTCTTCAGAAAATATTATTAGAGCTATCATATCAAGGTGGAACAGATGAGGAGATGCAGCAGAACTGTAAAAATTAAAAAATGTGGGCACAATTTCAATCAGAAAACCTGAATGGAAGACTTCTGTGGAAACCTTGGTACAGATGTAAGGATCTAAAAATTGATCTTAAAGAACAAAGGTGTGAGGGTATGGACTGGACTCAAATTGACCAGGATTGGGTGGAATGGCAGGTTCTTAAGAACTCAATAATGAACCTCTGGGTTCCATACAATTGGGATAAACATATGACAAGCCAAGTGACCAATGGCTTCCAAAACAGGGTTATTATTATTATTATTATTATTGCAATTAGCTAGTTAATCGGAACTTATATAAATTTAGTCCATTATCCTTATATGGAAGCCTTAGTCTCGCAAATGGTCTTTTCACGTACAATTTTCCAACCCAAATTTTGCATGCATTTCTTGTTTCATCCCCACCCAAGTTCATAAGATTTTATTATACCTTCCAACCCCTTTTACAAATTTATGACAGAGCACTCAGCTATTTATAACAGAGAAATGCAATAACACTAACAGCAGACTACACCATAGGTAACTCAGGCGGTTAGTTACCATTTTACCGCAGTGCCAAGCATTACTGCTTGAGCCAACTTTGTGAGTAACAAACCACATAATTTTTCTATGCAGTGCATGGAACTGTGATCTGTTTGCTCTCCAAGAAACTCATCAAGGCCAACCAATTATCCATAATTACTCATCTATGTATCCATGCTACCATTACTGCTGTGCATAACAAATTTATAGTGGTTAACCTTCTGAATCATGCAAACATTAGGCAAAGCAACCTACTTCCCATGGAAAATTCCTTAGTTATGACAGCACAAATAAATTCAGAGGCTTCAAATCAAAACTGGAAGTTCAAAAATAAATGTCAAAAAACATCCTGAATATCTTCCAGCAAGTGACAGTAATGCGAATCATGTTTCCTGAAACATGTCAGATGTTGGCACTAAAATGATGTCAAAGTTTCACATCTTCTGGAAGTTAAATTAAAGAGTCAAGTGTAGCGATTAAATCGCATTTAACAAGATATATGCTAAAAATTTGTAATTTCAAAAATAATACTTGTGCAAAAACGTATTCCCTGGCAAAGCTGACGATTGTCCAACATTACAAATGAATATACATAATTACGCATTTTGTCGGATACCTGAAAATATAAAAAACCAGGTACACCTCATTCACCAACATACTTCATTCACAAATACATCAGAACACGTAAATGTGCTAATTGCGTGCATTTTCTACGAATGCTAATTTCATTAACAGGCATTCGGAACTTAATTACAATCCAAAAGAAAAGAAAAAATAATCTCAATTTCTTCCCTATCGTCATCTGCTCGATCTACTCTACAACAGCCTACCGACTGTTACCTCGATACTTGCATGCCGTCGAGCTATCGAAACTTTTGAGAGTGGTCACGTGGTAGTGACTGATTACGGACTTCTGGGTTGACAATTGGGTATGCTGAACGCTTGGCCGAGGGCGCACCAAGGAAACTGTCAACCGCAACGCAACCTCAATATCCGAGAAATGTCTCCGATATCAAGCAGGCAACTTGTTTCCAGCTTAGCAGACGCACACTGAGGAAACTTATGTTTGATTATGAAGAATGCCGTCTTCTGGGATACGGCTCCGCGTAGCTACTGTGTTCCTCGCTCGCGGATTTTTTCATACCCTGAAGATGGAGGCGATACTTTCCTCCGAAACGTCGGTTTACACAATATCTACATGGCGCCATATCCCAGAAGACGGCATTCTTCATAGTCACCGCCGTTGAAAACCTCAAATCTTACTTATGTTTGATTAGTTGCTCACATCATCTTAAGTGGGTATGTTCGTCCGTCGCAATGGATGATTGTATTTTTTAATTTCGTGCACTTACCTTCTGCAGTGAAAGATAATAATACTGATCCTGCCATTAATGGTTGCAGTTGAGACCGGATGAGATGGCGTGAGAATAGGTCGACGACCATAAGGAACAATTTTATTAAGACAGAAGATACCTGATGATAGCCGTATACAGCCGAACCATGTAACGTGGAAGGGTGGCTGTATAATAATTTTAAGACGGAAATATATGTGAAATGAATGATATAGTAATGCAACAGAATGCTTAAATACAATATTAGGAAACCAATGGGCGCGTCCGTTCTTCTATGACAATTTAAACTGAGGCGCTTATAATTTTTTCGAAAGAACTTAACCTGGATCCCGACTACTTCGTCTCATGAGAAATTCTTTCCCAAGCCAAATCAATTCTGTCCTGCCTAGCATGGTCTGGGTGGAGTTTGTCATATATACCAGGCTCTGCACGAAAACAGATTAGTAGGTTCTTCAAGCTTTCCTGCCATCTTGAGAAATAACTGCATCACTGAAGCGCGCTACTGAACAGCTGACATTAGGAAACCACGCGGCAACGCAATCGTGAGAAGACTAGCATGCTCCGTTGCCTGGAAGTTGAGTTTATCAGCCTTTCCACGAGATGCGTTGCCGTTTCCTCAATTTGCGCTGGTCCACTCAGAAACACGTGTTCAACTAAGGCTGATACAAATTCTCGGAAATTGCGGTTGCCCGTTTCCTTTGTATGCCCTTAAGGAGGCTTGGGGTGAACTGGAATGTTTCCATTGCTGTGTAGCTGGATTTGAGTCTGGTTGGTAGTGAAGCACCCATGATGTCATATTCAAAACATGTGGCAGAATTGGGTGATGACAGCTTCTGTATTTGCCAGTATTGTTCGTGAGAATAAAAATTAATGTTCCAATTGAAAACTGGATCTGCAAGTGTATAACTGCCCCATCCATACTGATAGCAGTAGTTTTGCACATGCTCATACATTTCAAGCAAAATTTTTGTTTTTGTTTCTAAAAATTCTCAAATTACCATGCCCTTGAGCTTTCTTTGTAAAGAAGTACAGAGTATCATGAAGAGGACTTTTCTTTTACAGATTTTAGTGTTGCAGTTCTATAACCATGGGATTTGAAACAGAGACTATGAAAAATCATACAATTCTGATGAATTCATGATATCTTTTACACAACTACTTCTGTAGCAACTTGCTGACCTTCCTTAAAATTCTCTGGATGAGAGACTATGAAATACAGAGCATTCTTTTCTGCCAATACAGAGCAGTATGCAACACCAGCACTTTTTCTTATCATAAATTCAAAAAATTCCATCATTAACCTTTATTGTCTCAAGTGCCCAGCACATGGGCATTTAAAAATATATTTGTCACCCAGTCTACTTGATGAATTCATGTTAAAAGCAGTCCTTTATGTCGATGGCTCATGGCTCAGATTACATTGAGTTGCTATTGCAAAAATATAAACAATTTTTTAAGATCTTGCAAGCAATCTGATGCATACACTGACAAAGGATTACCCCACATGAGAGTTGTGAGTTAATTTCTTATCACTGAGAGGAAGGGGGTCAAGGGTTAGAACTGATATGCAACTATTCTATATCCCAAATGTATTTACAGATAGGTGTTACAAGAAAAATATTTCCATTATGCCTACAGGTCAATTAAGTCATTTATTATTCAATCATGGTTGTTGGATTTCATAATTCAAACTCCATAATAAGTTTCCATACTTGTATTTCACTGGCAAGACTTCAGGGGCAAAGTGGGAAGGGTCAAGTGGTTGTCCACTTTTCTGGCTTGAGAATTCGTATCAACCAGCACACTGTCCACTGAGTGTTTTCTTGCTGTATTCATAGATGTCCTCCAGCTGTAAGTGCACGAGAGAATCGGGTATTATCATCAATATTTGGAAGCTCATGCAAAACAATTCACCCACTGTCTGACATCACTACCTGAAATGTGTTTTGTATGGCCCTAATCATAGAGATAAGTCACAATTTACCAGAATCTCTGAAGAATTAGTGGTAGACTGTAGAACAGTTTCACATACAAACATGTTGTAGTCCTCCGGGTAATGAGAGCATGCAGTCTAACAGGCGAATACAAAGGTTTCAGGGTAGAAGTGGGAAAAGATGGGAAATGGTCAGGTTATGTAGAAGCAGAGAGAATGAAAATGAGTCATGGATAATAGGAGTATTTGGCTCACTTCTGGAGTAGAGGCAACTTCACAGCCCTGGTTTGGAAACAAAGAGACATTTATATCCTGAAAAGTATGCATCGTACAAAGAAAGTTGGCTCAGGTTATTACATGTGCAATATGTATTTGTGAAGTTGATTCAAATCTGAACAGGACACTGAGTCTCCTGACTATGGTTGCTTGTAGTTTTCCTCGGTCTCTCCTGGCAAAAGCTAGGATACTACTTCAAATTATACTACTGCCTCTTCGTGCCACATCCTTTCTGTCTATATATTGCTTCTTTAGTATTGTAGCATGTAGACCCATTGCTAAGTAATGACTCTGTAAACAACACCCACTGCTAGGTAACAGATTCCTATCCCACACCAATGGACTAACTGCCAAGCGGTATTCTGTATGTGGTCCATGCAACACCTGCGTGTTACAGTAATAGAAGAGGCGTTGGGAGAGATGTGTTCTGATTTACACGCTGCTTATTGGGATATCTGAAATGTAGTCAGCTTTGCTACGTAGATTTGTCTGACATAAAGGAACAAGAAGATGAATGAAGTATACAAAATAACCAAGAAAGCGTTTAGGAAGCACATGAACAAACCTCAATTATTCTGTTTCACTCTTGCTACTGTGACATACAGATCATGAGATTGTCACATATTGTACCAAAATAATGAGTGGGCTTTCTTGCAAAGGTAATGCCTAATTTTTAACCATACTGGGATTTACAGATTTTGTTTAAAATGTCTGCTGAACTGTGAATTGCTCAGCACATGATTTTGCCCATGTGCAATGCTGCACGCTACTGACCTTTTCTTCTTCATCAGAGCTGACATTCTGTTCAATGACAAAATGTTCACATTTATTTCACTATCACTATATTTATTCTCTTGCAAAAGTTCATATAACACCTCCTCATCACTGACATGCATCTTCTTGCTAGGATCTACCATGTTTACTCACAAAACCTAGAAGCCAGGGCAGCTATCAAGCAATCAGAACATTCCTGTGACACTCTGAAGTAAGATCTAGCAAGCACAACATATAAATTTGCACTGCTGACTGTCATTATATCTAATATTTAATTGCGTATATCTACAACAGCATGGTTGGAAATATGTACGACATCTAGACGCATTCTAACCACTTAACTCCTTAAGCTGTTCACAAAATACAAAAAGCTATAATTGTCATTTTACATGAATATGAAATTTGGTCTGTACGCTGAGGGGACAGGGTAGAATTTAGGTGTTGGAGAAGCAAATGTTGAGAATATTTGAACAAATGGAATAAAAAGTAACACAGATGGAGAAAATTATATCACTCCAAATGGAGAACTGCATAAATTACATTACTTGCAATATACTTGTATTATGTGTTGAAAATAATGCATATGGTATGTGCAAGGCATTCAGCAAGAATGAAGAAATGAGAAATTAATACAGACCTTAAGGGAGGTAACTTGATGTATGATGGGATAACCATACTCAGCGTATTTTTATGATGGACAATTTCCCCAGAAAAATGAATAATTAGAAGCTTCAAAGTTTGTACTTTTCATCAAACATTTTTAGGATGATCAAAGGAGGAGTCTGATATCAGCCATGCATATAGTACAAACAGGAGATAAGATAAATACATAGGGAAGATTGGTGGGTTCTTACCTTTGGTTCCATAATATGCAGGGAATTTCTTAGCTTCTCAAGGACTCCTCTCTATGGAGTTTGTTGAAAGTTATACAATAAAGCTGTACACATAATAGTTGCAAATGTCTCACAAGGAAAATTCTTTGACTTTATAAAAGTTTTGAAGTTACATGGCAGTGGTTGTTCAGACTGTGGTCTTCTGGATTGACACTGTGTAGTCTTGTAAGTGGATACTGACTTTTTGACAAAACATGCTGTCTTCATCTTAAAGGCTGAAGTATGTGGAGTGTGGAACTGGTTCAGTTACAGAGGCAGATTACAGAAGTTGGTTACTGAGACCCAGGGGAGGGAGGTAAAAAACATAGAACCCAGTCAGGATCAATGGGAACGGTATGCAAGAAAATGACCCTCTGCACGTTTTCATCATAGGAAAACATGGAACTGTGAGAAAACATGGGCCTTTTCTGTCACTGTCATAGAACACACTGGAGCCCTGAAAAGGACTGTTTTCCTGCCCAGTGTTCCTACTGGACCACACCAGGTTCAATTTCTTTACATCCTCCCATAGGTTTGAGTGATCTCTGTGACTCTGAAAGGGGCTGTCTTTCATTACAACTCCACTCCCTTCTGTAATGTAAAGAACATTCTGAGGTGCTGAAAAGGGTCATTTTCCTGCCTACTGTTCCCACTGACCTCAGATCCATTCTTTTATCACGTCTTGTGGGGCTGAGCGACCATCTTCCCTGCATACCTGCCCATATAATTGAATTAATCTCACCACACACAAAAGTATATGGTACATAATACAGCCAGCAAGTCTGTACCATCTGCTAAGATGGTCTTCGGTTGATGAGTTTGTGCTTATGATATTCCCCTTACACATCTTCATGGCAAGTTACTGCACAGGAATAACTTTACCTTTACCTCATACTTCAGGAAGTTTGTAGGGCACTTGGAATAGCACATGACAGTTAAAAGCACAAATTTAAGCCCAAATACAGTTTCCATTCTCAGTAGCAGAGTTATGTTCTTTGATTAAGAATGTACACTTTAACCTAGTTCTGTATACCCTTAATGCTCCTTGAATGTCTACATGTTGTTACCATTATTTTATATTCATTTTATACCTTGATTTGTAACAACTCAAAATAAACCGTTATTCATCAGTGCAGAAACAAGCTGTTGCCATTTATTATATGCAATGATAATCAACTGAGAAATGTGTTTACTAAATGATTAATTCGGAGAAGTTCATGGAGGTAGGCCTAGGCCCACTGGGGCTGTAGAGCCAAGGGAAAAAAAAAGATTAATTAAAGGATTTAATTATACACAAGCTTTCTGGTATTCAGTTACATAAAAATTTTAAAGGCACCTACTACAAGAGCGTACTAAATGCTGAACAGAGCATCTGAGATTTCAGCATGTTTAATTAAATGTACGTGTACAACAAGATGTTACTACAACAAAACTGAAATAAGATTTTTTTGCAAACAAGAAATATACAAATGTAAAGCACCTTCTAAAAACATAAATTTATGGTTCTGAATTTAATAATTACACAATCCAGGTTAGAGTTCTTTAACTTTCTGACTGTTGTGCCCTGGATATCCCAGGCTTATACAGACCATATAGTATCTTGTCTCAGTTGGGAGATCCTTGTCTGTAAAGTACAAAATGAAAAGAACTCAGGATACAGGGGTCTGCAAACTAAGAAATACTTTGCAGTCAAAACCTTTGCTTAAGCATTTCTAAACAAGTGGCATGAAGTTTTCTAGCAGCACAGTGACAGAGATACTGAGTTATAATATATTTACAATAAGCATTATATAAAAAATTAAAATAATTTAGTATGATAAGGAAAGAATTATTATTAGTTTTTTATTTACAGTTTATGCAATGATGCTGTCATCCAAAATTTCTCTGGAGGTAGTGAGGAAAACCAAAAAAACTTCAGCTGGGATAGTCATTCTCCAGGCTGAGATATTAACCCAAGACCTCACATATGCAAAGCAGGAGAGCTACCCACTCGATCACGACATTCGGCAAAATGATTCTTCCTGCATGGTTTCTTTCCTTATACACTTCCCTCTCTCTCACTATGCAGCAACAGTACTACAAGTCTGTTATTATAAATACTACAGTTCAGTGCAACAGCTTCACTGCTTCCACCTCACCTGTACCCACCTGTTGAGATGAGATCTATAGAATTAAGTATTGTCTTCAGCTATGTTTATTGCACTAAAATGCAGCAAAAGAAAGGGCATGAATTGATCTGCTGTGTCCGATTTCAGGGACATCACATGGTGTTATACAGAACTATACTGGGATATCTTACAAAGCTTATGTAATTCTAACATGGAATTTTTCTGCGTAACTGCAATGTTTAAATCATAGCCTTGTCATGATAAAAGTACATGTGACACTGTATTTTTGAACACCGTTGTTACAGACACTGTTATTAATATATGTGATATGTAAGTACTTCGAGATACCTTTTTTTTTATTGCTATTGGGGTGGGACGAAGACCCTTGTACTGCGGCCACTTCTGGCCTATTGTACCACCCCCAGAGGTGAGGGTGATTGTGGAGCAATTGGTGGAATGAAGATTGGTAGGGGAAACCGAAGTACTCGGAGAAAACCTGCCCCAGAGGCACTCTGTCCACCACAAATCCAACTTGACCAGACCCGGGATCGAACCTGGGCTGCTGCGGTGGGAAGCCAGCAACTAACTGCTTGAGCTATGGCGCGGCCATGACCTTTTACCTTAATGGTAGCAGATAAATTTAGAAAAGGACAGTCAATTCAACTGCCGAAGGAAAAGATATGTTTCTGACTACATTTAGTCAGAAGAATTTATTCTCAAGGTTTGTGAAAAAGGTTGATTCAATAATAATTACTGGAATCGAATCATTCTCAGATGTGCATCTAATAAAAGATTATTTTATGTTATCAAACACAGTCACTGGCAAAAGAAATTCTTTTTGTGTGTTATTTAATAATGCTGTCAGGACTCAAATGCATCAAACAGAAGGATGTGTGACAAATTGGAAAGGACTTGGAAGCAGATGTGTCCTAAACAAGGTACTACCCTGGCATTTGTCTGGAGGAAAGGATGAAAGCCATGAAAATCTCGAACAGGATATCCAGTGTCTGGGCTGAGTTTCAAACTAAGCACCTCCTAAATGGGAATCTAGAGCAACCTGTTTGCTTCATGTTGTCACCATCACAGATGAAGTGCAAATAACTGACAAAACTGACTTCACACATGTATTTTACAGATCACCAGTAACCTGAGGGGGGGATCACAGTCTTTTGGCTTGGCCTAAAACATGTCACATTAACTTTAGATGTATCTAAAACATCTTTCACAGTTTATCATCCTCAGACAGTAACCTATCTCACTATATCATCATTAGGAAGTTACTAGATTTTATTTTCCACATTTGATGGGAATCAAAACCATCATACCACAAATTTCACTCAACAAATTTGACTTCTATTCTGCAAAACTACCTCCTAAATGTATGATGTACTCTGAATGATGTTTCTGACATACAACAGGAAAGAGTTTTCTGTTTAATGAACAAATGGTGACATGTGTCATACAGCTGCTTTTTCTGCAACACAAAACTTGACTACAGGCAACAGACTGATAAATCAACATCCATACACTTCATGTGTGCGTCTGTATTTACCAACGGAGTGGACAAAATACCTTATAAAATGAGGAATCGGCCAAACAATTAATATCAAATAATACCACATCTATACCATGGGCCTCCAAGCAGTTTACTATATGCATACAAGTCCTGAATATACTATTATGTCCATGGGAATATAACAAGATTGCAACATCTGACTTCATGATACGCAATATCACATAAATAGTTTTTAACCATATTTAATCCCATAACTTTTGTTTCATAATAAGTTTAGAATTCATTCTATTTTTATACCTTGTATTTTATAATGTAAGAGTTATCAAGTATCCAGCTTTACTATCACAATGAAACTGCAGTTCAATGGTGTGAATATAGTAATCATGCGTTTTGCCTGATGATGGCTTTAAAAAGCTGAAACACATAGCTAAGGTAATATTAACCTTGACTGTTATGTTGTTGTGTTATGAAGGACTCCAATAAAGAACTGTATAGTTCGGAAATGTTGGGCGCAATGATTAAGTTATTCTGTCTTCAGCAGTTTGCTGTTATTCAGTGTTCTCAGTTCAGCTCATACTATATTTTGAATGGGTCATGTATGTTCTAATGTTGTGTGCATGCGTGCACGTGTCTGCGTGCATGTGCATTAGTATTCACATGCATATGTAAGGTTTTCTTTTGATTCAGAAAATTTAAGACATGTCAGGATAATCAGTATTACAGCTTTGCAAAGTTAAGTGAAAGTATTGTCATCTCTATCATGTTACAGGATTTTGAGAAGATAACAAAGAAAGAAAAGATATGACTACAGTCAATATTGAGGAACATTAATTCTGTGGTGAAGGCCATTAAATAATACCACAGCTAGTCACAAGATTGCCAAATCAGCACTGGAGGTACAAATGCAAAAACTGGTACAGGGTCTGAGCTAAAATCTATTAGTGAAGTCCAAAGTATGGTTACAAATTCTCAACAAGGAAGAGGGGCTAGTGCTTGCTGGTTACTTGAAGCTAAGTATTTCCTTACACTACAGAATAACTACCAAACTAAGATAGCAACATATAAACCAAAGAGGAATGGTTCAGGTGGTTCACAATGAGGGATCCGACGGAAATTGCACTCTGAGGGTTTCTTTCAATAAAGGAACTCCTGAAACAGCCTGGAATATGCTACGCCTATACAATCATCTAGGGATACATGAAAAAGAGTTACAAGAAATTTAATAAAAATTAAGTAAAAAAGAAACTTCACAGATGAGAGTCAGTATGTTCATTTGATCAGTACTCAAAACAAAATTATTTGAGACTAAACAATAAGATGGGGAACTTTGTTCCTAGGTATGACAGCATCCTCAATGGAACAACAGTCTGCACCTGTGCACGTATTTAGAAACTTCCATTGTGTTTTAAATTTTCAGACAGGCCATTATGCATCATTTACACAAATATAGTTCAGCATCACTTCTATTTGTGATTTAATGAAACAAATACAAATAAGGCATTATTTGCACACACTTACTTTATACCGTAATAAGTCTTCCAGAGCACCACGGACAAGGATGAAAGTTTTCGCTACACTGAGGATCCACTAGACTGCTGCTACCAATCTCAGAGAGTAGGGCCATGATCTTCCCTGCTGTGTCTGCTCGCAATGCTGGTGGGAGATGGACCCCTGATGGTGAAGCTAGCTGCATCATCTCATTCAACTTTACTGGATCCTCAACTTCCACAGTCTCACCATTGGGTATATCTGCAAGTTAACATGGGCAGTTTCAGTTTCCATATTTTCCTGCACAAGCCAAGAATATGTGAAAAATATGAGTACTATCTTCTGGAATGTGATGCATGGCTTCACACACCAGGAGACAGTGTTCTTCACTGTTACTGGCATGAGAACCCCAAATCTGACAAGGTATTTATATCACTGAACAAGGCATCATTATTCAAAATGAATCTATCATTTGTACATTCAGAATTTTAATTTACAGATTACGTAATATGATTAGAGCCTGTTACAGACACAATTTCTTTCTGGAAATTCCCACTATCTGAAGTACCATATTCACTTGCATAATGTATGCCTCAGCATAATATATGCACCCCTATATTTAGACAATACATTTTGTTGGGGGGGAAGGAGGTGAAATATATATATCCCATACCAAGTTTAAGTTCCAAATTTTTGGTTAAACAGATATGAATACAAATTATTAATAGGTAATCTGTGTCTTCATGTATTGCCTGTCTATTAGTTTGAACAGACTTGTGTCTAAGCTCTGGAAATAATACACACAAGCTTTTATGTTTAATTAGTTCATGAAATATGGGCACAGAGATGTCTGTAGGCTGCCAGCAAGGCATGAACAGTTACTGCAGAAAAGAAAGAAGGAAGGGTAAAAATTACAGACTACAGAACAATTGTAATCAACGGTGACCAGCCATTTTATGCTGATGGTGGATACACTGACACAATTTACTTGGGAGGAGGTGTATCATTTTAATAAATGTGATGGATTAGCAAAGTGCTTTGTTCCTTTGATAATACTGAAGTAAAGAGAAAAGTAAAACCTGTAACATTTTTCTTTACACACCACTACATCTATTATAATGGTGCAGGAAATTATGATTTTGTAAATGAACTGATTTGTTAATTCAATTAATTAACCACATTTCATGTATTAATAAAATACAGAACTTTGTCTTATGTATCATCATCATCATCAGCAGCAAAACAGCCATTTTGAGCCACAGCCTTCCTTAGAAGTTTCACTTCTTTGGAGTTTGCAACAACATTCTCTTTAGAGCAAGGTCATCAGCCTTGGGTTCACCCCCCACCCAACCTGGAGGATCCCTGTATTTATGTCCATCATTGATGGGGTGGCCCAGTTATACCCCCAGGCACCAGGTTTCCTTTTTGTCACCTTCTATGACTGACAGGGCTATGGTGGAGTTATTCTAACCTGCTTCCACAATTAAGGGTTAAATACATCACGTTCTTGTATGAATTGTAAATACAGATCTGAAGTACTGGTATATATGTCTGTATAATATAAATATGATTGAACAAAAGTTGGGATATCTCAGTCAGTACAGCAACAGGCTATAGGCTGGACAGCCAGGGTTCAATTCCTGGCAGGGACAAGATTTTTCTCTTCTTCGTAACATCCAGCACAGCTCTGGGGCTCATCCAGCTACCTATTTAATGAGTACCAGCAGCTCTTTCCCCAGGGGTAAAGCAGCTGGAACGTGAAGCCAACCACTCACCTCCATCTAGTAGTGAGGTCAAGAATGGTCGAGTTACACCTCCACTCCCCAATATGTCTTCATGGAATAGCGCTTCAAAGATTAAGCACAGGGAAAAATTTACAATTTATATACATGCATGAATTTCTCCTTGTGTAACCAATGAGATTTTTATATGTCTGAAATTCCTTAACACTGATAAACAGTCAATGACATGCATCGCTTGCATCATGTCACTGACCATATAATCTGTCCTCCATACTCAACGTGTCAGCCTCAGTATTACCATCTCTACTGTTCTGCCAACTGAGCTTCAGACAAGGCCAGAATAACTGTTTTGGACAATCAGTTGAACATGCCTGCATGATAAATATCATTGTACACTGTTTGTTATTTCAATGCTATTTTCTGTTACAGGCCAATTTAAATTTGCACCCACCTTCCTTTCTGACTAGGGCCAGTTGCTATAATTAGACAGCAGCAACATGCTTTTGCCTTTCATTGTACTGTGGCATGTCTGCTGAAAGCCAGAAATGTGAAGCCAATAGAGACAGCTGTTGCTAAGGAACAGCTCTGCAAACATGTCCATTCCTAGGTAATGACCACAACAAAGAAGAGCTGTTGGAAGCGGTATTCTTTGTGCAGTCCGTACCAACAGTTATGTCATGCAACAACAAAAGAACTGTTGGGAGAGATGTTTTCTGTTGGGTCCATGTTGAAGTTATATAATGAGGATCAGCTGTCATTATAAAACATTCCTGATATGGCAGTTAGAAGAGTAGGAGGTTGGTGTGAGATGGCCCCAACCTGGGAGCTAGAGAGACAGTCAGCCCAAGTAGAGAGTCAGTTAGTCAAGAGAGGGTCTGCAGGCAGTCAGTCAGTTGAGATTTGCAACAACTGAGGGCAAGGACAGTTCAGGAACCCAAAGGAAGGGAAAATCTGCCGCTGGAAGCCACTACGAAGCAGTGCAGTGAAGACTGTGACTGGGAACTAGTCTGTCCCTGACAGTGATTTATAAAGTGTAGTCATGAGCTATTTAGGAGTTCAATAAATCCAATTACCAATCCAAACACCTTCTACAGTCACTCTTATCACGTGACAATATCACTTCTCCACTTCCTTATCTTGAGACAAACAGATTCCTACTCATTGCATGTGGGAGGCACCCCTCAGAAATTGACAACTGATGAATGAGAGGAACATGTCATACAAAATAATCTGTTACTTTCAGTGAGCTCCCACATCAATATGCTATGTGTTGGCTGCCTTATTGTATATATAATAGTAAGATATTGGTACCAGTGTGTGTTACATAATACGTCTGTGTTACCAAACACAGCTACATGAAAGTTATGAATTTGTTAACATTATCAAGTTACTCTTATATAATTCAGATGCCTAAATAGAAGAAGAGTTCAAACCCTGGAATAACGATTATTTCTTATTTACATGACATCCTCGTGTTATGTCTGATTAGGATTCTATTAAATAATATTCAAGACACAATTGATTCTTAGCTTATTTAATTAGATTCTTCCAATGTAGAGATCACAAAGCATCAAACTCTGAGCAGATAATGATCTGTATACTCTTTATTATAACATAGTCTTGATAGAGAAACATTCAAAGTTAAAATCAAGAAAACCAATGTAAGGTCACAAACAGAAATAACAAATATGCACATCATAACAGATATGAGTTTCACTTTAAATACATAACTAATAGAGATCAGCTTATTTTACAAAAATTCGCTTCTAACTTAATATAATTTTACTCATACCTTCTCCTTGTTGCTTATGCTTAACTGATGTTTGTTCAACTAAATGCTCCATAGGACTGTCATGAGTTATCTTCCAAATGGCTTCCTTCTCTGCCGCCAGCTGTTGCACTAATTCAGTCAGTTCACTCAGCTTGTTTCGCAGTTCTTCCCTATCTTTAGAAAGCTTTGATAGCTGCTCATCTTTCTCTCGAGCTCTCTGCCTTAAGATACTCCTCTGCACTTGATACAAAGCAATGTATTCCCCTGAAAGTAATGAAACTTCACAGAAACACACATCACCAACCTACAAACAAATGACCCTTAACATCCCACAAGTGGGAAAATACTATAATGCATGGCAGATGACACTAGCCTGTACTAATAAGAAAATGCCTAAAAAATGTTTAATTTGTTTCCATGAACCATCTCAGAATTTGCCTGACAGAAGCGAAGAAAAACACCCCTAATAAAGTATCAACTACTAATCTCATTTAGCATATCCGATATTGTTCACTAATGATCTATAGGTATTTAGACGATTTTAAGATGTAATCTTCAATTGTATAAGTGATACAGCATTAATACTGGCAATTAAACTATTCTGGTATGTTATATGAGCAATAGAAACAAGAAAATTGTCTGCATTACTTTAGCCCCAAAATTCTTTTGAAGACAACAGAAGAATAAGGCTCAGGTTTTGATGGTAGGAGTCTAGTTATTAACCCAAAACAAAGGCAATACTTGGGCTTGTTAAACCAACTGTCATTTCTATATAAGCACGAAACTGCCATCACTCAAAAAAAAAATCAAATTTGCCTCTTTTCTTATTTGCCATTTTACTTTCCGTTAATTATCCCCTGTATGCCTTCACCAGGATTTTCTTTATCATTCACATCACAGTCAACTTCATAAGGAATGTCGTTTCCAAGTAGCAAAAATGTGAAATTTGTTCTATAATACAATTTATAACCATTATTTTGTGACAGATTGGATACTGTCATTTAAACCAATATATTTTTGTTTTAACTGCTAGTGCATTCATATTATAACTGTTCATTACAGCTTCTGAAGGATAAAAAGAGACTTCTGTATACATTCCTCCAGTTTCTGAACAACTGATCACTGCAGGGGGTAATATATTGTCACGTGTTGGGTATATGTCATGTGACAAGTAACTTCAAGCCTTATTTGACATAGCGAATTTATTGAACATTCGCTCTTACAATCACACAATTTAAAATCTCACAATTACTGCCCTCAGCAGTATCACAAATTATCACAGCAAATCTTCTAACCACACATTCAGGTCTTCTTCCCGCAACTGCTGCTATATTTCAACTGCTCATAACTCATAACTGGTTCAATACTCACTACTGAATAGTGTTCGCTGCTGCTTATTTAGCCTCGGCATGGACAACACAGAAAACAGTTACGTGATAGCTTTCACTGTTGTGTGACGTCATGTTTACAGATTGCCTAGCAACAGTCGCTGCACAGGTTCCCCTGTTGCATGAATGACGCCGTGTTTACAAAGGCGTTGTTGGGCAACGCTGCCAAGAGTTGTTTATTGCTGCATAGCAACCGCGGTTTCCCCTGTTATGTCACCGCAGGGGAGAGGGTGTTTAACCAGCGTTGTGTCGTCCACATCACAGTATTTTGGGGATATTTTCACTCAACTTAATGCCTGGGTTGACCTACTTCCATTTGCTTACCTACACTAAATGGAAGACAGCTTTAAAAATAGGATTCTGAGAAGATCTTATTTAGGGTTTGGCTTGGGAACATGGGTTTTGTAAATTCTGAAGAGAAAATGCCACTCCATTGTTAATTACACACATTTATTTTGATATACTAAACAATGAACAAACAAGGCATTCAAGTATACTTGATGTCTGATTGTTCAAGGCAGCAGATTGTGATACTGACCACTACCTGGTGGTGACAAAAGTTAGGGAGAGACTTGCAGCAAGTAAACAAAAAATCTCCAGAAATTAAATGAGGTAGAAGGTAAAGAGCTGTATTATGTTGAAATCTCAAACAGGTTTGCAACTTTGGAGAACTTAGACACTGAAGTGGACATTACTAGAGATCGGGAAACTATTACAGTGAATATAAAAACTTCAGATAATGAAAGTCTAGGTTATTATGAACTGAAGATGCATATGCCATGGATCAACGAAGGATGCTCAGAATTATTAGATCAAAGGAAACAAGCCAAACTGCAGTGGTTACAAGATCCAAGTGAAATACTTGGGGATAATCTTTACAATATAAGACATGAGGCCAGCAGGCATTTCAGGAATAAAAAAAGGCAATATCTGAAAGATAAAATTGATGGGCTTGAAACAAACAATAAGAACAAGAACATCAGAGATCTGTACAGAAGAATAAGTGAATTTAAGAGGAGTTACCAACCTAGAAATAATTTTGTGAAGGATGAGGGTGGTGATCTGCTTGCAGATTCGCACAACATTTTGAATAGGTGGAAGAACTACTCTCAGTTTTTGAATGTACATAGTCAGTGATGTTAGGCAGATAGAAATACATACAGCTGAGCATTTGGTACCTGATCCTAGCCCTTTTGAGGTTGAATTGCTATTGCAAAGTTGAAAAGATATAAATTGCCAGGTAGTGATCAAATTCTGGCAGAACTTATTCAAGCAGGAGGTGAAATATTATGTTCTAAGATCTACAGGGTAAATAATTGTACTTGGAATAAGGAAAAATTGCCTGATCAGTGGAAGGAGTCTATTCTTGTACCAGTTCACAAGAAGGGTGATAAAACTGACTTTAGTAATTATCAAGGGATACTGCTGCTATCAGCTTCATACAAAATGTTATCCAAAATTCTACTCTCAAGGTTAAGTCCATACATAGATGAAATTATTGGGGATCATCAGTGTAGATTTTGATGTAACAGATGAACTACTGATCAGATATTTTGCATTTGTCAGATACTTGAGAAAAAATGGGAGTACAATGAGACAATGGACTGGCTATTCATAGACTTCAAGAAAGCCTATGATTCAGTTACGAGGGAAGGATTGTACAATATTCTCATAGAGTTGGGGTAGCCGTGAAACTAGTTAGGCTGATTAAAATGTGTTTAAATAAAACCTACAGTAAGGTCTGCAGAAGTAAACATTTGTCTAGTAACTTTTCTACCCAAAATGGTCTAAAAGCAAGGAGATGCTTTATCACCACTGCTTTTCAACTTTGCTTTAGAACATGCCATTAAGAAGGTCCATGAAAACCAGGAAGGACTGAAATTAAAAAAGACCCATCAGCGGCTGGGCAATTCTGACAATGTGAATGTAATGGGTCATAAGATAGATACCAAAAAGAAAAACACAAAAACTACAACTGACACTAGTAAGGACTTTGGTCTAAAAGTAAACACGGGGAAAAATAAGTACATGTTGCTGTCTCATCACCAGAATGCAGGACAAGATCAAGATATAAAGACACCTAACATATGCTTTGAAAATATGGCAAGTTCAGATATCTGGGACTGACAATAGTAAACCAAAACTTGATTCAGTAGCAAATTAAGATTATGAATTTGGGTAATGCTTGTTGCCATTCAGTCAGAACCTTTTGCCTACCCATTTGCTGCCTAACAGCATAAAAATTAGAATATGCAAAACTATAATTTGCCTCTGGTTCTGCATGGGTGTGAAACTTGGTCTCTGACATTAAAGGAGAAACACAGACTGAGGAAGTTTGAGAACAGGGTGCTGAGGAGAATATCTGGATCGAAGAGAGATGAAGTGATTGGGAGATTGGATAGAACTGAGGAACTTCATAACTTGTACTCTTCAACAAGTGTAATTAGAGTGCATAGCTTCCGAAGGGGAGTACTTTGAAGGCAACCACAATGATATTCAGCAATGAGGTATGTAGCACTTTCACCACAATGAGTTCATGAACTTTAATGTCAGACCATGTGTGTGTGTGTCTATATATATATGGAATGTAACATCTCAGCATCAGATGCAATGAGTTCATGGGAAAACCAATGGAGGTTTCACCTGTCACTCTGATGCTGGCATACATACTTGCATGTGTGTAGAAGTACAATGTACTCACCACGTTAGTTTCAAAGAGTTCACACGATTACTGCAAGTTTAGGATAAAATATACTTTATTTATATGGACTTCGGCTAGGACCACAAAAAATAAATGCATGACTGTGAAACTTTAATTGGGATCCTGCTTTATATGTGTTTCCCATGAACATACTTTTTGAATGCTGAGCTGACATGTCACAAACACAATTTTCAGTTTTACGAGTTTTGGAGAAATGGCTGATGTAAATGATGACTTGGGAAGAATATGGAAGGAAACTGATATGTTTCAGAAGATACTAATCCAACATTTGCCCCATGGGGAGGGGGCTGAAGAAAATGCCAAAAACTCTTGTTAGTATAGCCAGTCTCTGGGATAGCTGAACACAGAAGTGCTAACTATAACCATAACATTCAGTTTCAGAAAATTAAGCAGAAGTATATTTCCCAACAACCACACATAAAATGATCGAAGAAAACATATCTTACCAATGGTTTCTGTTTCCCCTTGCAACTGTAACACAAGATGCTCTAATCTCTGTTTCTCATCAGAGAGGGCAGCAACTTCCTTCATTGTTCTCATGAATCTTTCCTCCAGTTTCTCCATGGCTACCTTCATAGAGTCTCTTTGGTTCGAATCTAAAATTAGGTTTGTTTTAAAACTCTCAGAAGCTGAAAATGAAGCAGAACAGTATTGCAAATGCATATTCTTAAACTGTAATACCAATTCCAAGACTATGAAAAATAACGTTGTAAAAATTTTTCGCCAAAATATATGTGGTTTAAGAAATAAGTATAGTGAAATATTATGTCATTTAGAAGAGTATACACCTCAAGTACTCTGTTTGACCGAACATCATCTTGGTAGTGATGAAATAGTTCATGTTAATTTGGCCAATTATACTTTAGGTGCATATTATAGTAGGAAAAATTTTAAGAAGGGTGGAACGTGTATATATATGCATGATAGTTTAACAACTCATACCATTAATCTTGACAAATTTTGTTGTGATAAGGATATTGAAGCCTGTGCTGTCACTTTAAATACTATAAATTTGAAAGTAATTATTTTAACTATATATAGATCGCCTTCCAGTGATTATGAAATATTTTTAGTAAACTGGANTTATTATTACCTTTCCTACTAGAGTAGGACCAAATTCATCCACAATTATTGATAATATATTTACTGACGAACAAAATTTTACCGACTATGAAGATTTTTCCGTCTCTAATGGATTATCGGATCATGAAGTACAATTTCCATTACCTTGTGTCAAAAAGAAACGAAATACTAGTAAAAACAAATATAAATGATTATAATATGGCAGAATTTAGAATGAAACTAAGTTATGAAAAATGGGAACTAGTTTATAACAATAATGACATTAATACTAGTTTTAATCAATTTTTAAATATATTTTTGAGACATTTTTATGAGTC